ACAAGAGTGGCAGATAGGAGAAGAGAAGGGAAAGATGTCTGCTTAATTAGCCAGTAATGATGGGATCTGACAAACAACATCTGTTTCCAAATTGGGAGTGTGTGTGTGTGTGTGTGTGTTTGTTTGGGAGGGGGGTAGAATGGAGAATGCCAGCACTCACTTTACCGAATGTCTCAAACAGAACAGCTTGATGTGAGTTTTCAGAGGGAAGCAGGAAGCAAAAGCATGCCGCAAAAACAGACCGAAATATAAATGCTTGAAAAAATTCATACTTTTGAAAGTCATTTTTGCCCCACTGATATTAGAGATAATGCTTAATCAGCAGCCTTGCCACCAAGTCATAATGAGACGAGTGTGTGTGTGTGTGTTTGTGAGGTCTTAAATTTCACTAATGAGTTAATGATGCCCCCTGGTGCTAGTCTGGCCCCTCTGTTTGTTTGTTTGTTTGTGTGTGTGTGTGTGTGTGTGTGTGTGTGTGTGTGTGTGTGTGTGTGTGTGTGTGTGTGTGTGTGTGTAATCTGGAGGAGATCCAGAAGATCTCATCCTCCATGGTAAATTCCATATGCCTCAACATAATCCCACTTTCTCCACAGTAATGCATTCCTGCTTTTTGTATATACTGCAGGATTAAGGATAAATTCATAAGGACAGATGCCCCGAATTAGTTTACAGTACTGATCTCATAGACGTGCATTTGTGAGAGATCAGACAACGTGGACTATATATAGTGTGTGATGAATCTGTCAGGACTCGGGTCAGGGCTGATAGGGCCATTGACAGCTTCCCAGCAGGCCTGCTGTGAGCCCTGTCAGTCTCTTCTCCTCCTCCAACACGGTTCCTCCCTGCTCTCACTCCTGTCTGCATGTGTACACATTTGCTATGGATTAGTTATGGACATTATATTTCAGCACCACTGCGGTGACAGGAATCACCTTTCCAAATCATGCCTGATCAATTGAATTGAAAGCAGATGGACTCAGAGACCTCAAATTTCAAAGATGATTCAGGGATGAAACCAGGGCTTTTGAAAATCGTTAAAAATGATTTAAAGTGTTTTGGTTAGACCTCATTGACACTCTATCCGACCTATTGAGATTTTAAGTTCTGTATTTTATTTTGGTTATTATGGGTATTATTTTGTTTTGTTGATAGTTATGATCCTGGGCAGGTCTTGGGCTTTGTATATAGTTATAATTTTTAAATATATTAAAAAAGGAGTCACAAAAATAAATAAGAGAGCATTTTAACATAACAAAATATGAAAAAATGAAGGGGCTTGAATACTTTTGCAAGGCAAGTGTATATGTTTCAAAGCAGAAACAATTATAATTATTCAAATTAAAATGACATAAAAAGTGTTTTATAATATTCTCGTTTGATTGTTAATTTTATCTCACCACTCAGATTCCAAATATACCTGTTGGTACTTGGTAGTATAACTCATGTTGAAAGTTGTATTATGCTCAAAGAAATGCTATTATGTTTTGTTCTGCCATCCCTTCACTTGTCTTATAGTGCGCACTCTTTGTTGGTGCTGTTACAGAACATTTTCCCTTCAGGAACAGATAATTGTCTTTCTATATTGATCCAATAGTTTTGCACTCCCCTGGGTTTGATTAGCAAAGTAAGAGGGGACAGATGGTACCATTCCTATTACTGTGATTTTTTTCTCTTTTTCTTTTTTCCCAGAGCACTCATTGTAGATAGACCTAAGGAAGCGAATCAAATGCTATGTCAGACCAGTCTTTAAAACAACAGCCCCAAGTTTGTATTCAAGTGCACGTCCTTGGATTGCTTCTATGGCTCTTAAATTTGAGAATACAATAACCATTTTATCAAAGGTAACTGAGAATAGAGGACCTGCATTTATAACTACATCCAAGATAGATTTTACAAACTACTAACTTTTTCAGCAATTACCAAGACAACATTTGGAAACAGATTTATGATAAAAGACAAACAAATAAACATGCATACCAATCCATCAGCCTTATTCTTGCGGTAGCCTTATTACATTGATGCGATTATACCATATTGATTATTTTGTTTGTTTTAACCTATATAGATTGAAAACCCACAAAACCCACCATGGGATTGATCCCTATTCAACCCTCTCCTTCTTTTCAACAGTTCTTTTCATCCCTCACTAATCGTATGCGTCCATTTATTGAACCTGTGTGGTAGTGACTTGCTGAGTCTCAAGCTGTTAGTCCAGCTGTACATTTACTACAAAGCTTAAAAGATATAGCAGGATATATACCAGGACTTTCTAGGAATCTTTCTCTTCTTATGAAGCCAAACATAATTAGTGCTTCCACTTTGCCAAACTTTTCCTAATCCAATTAAGGCATGTTATGAACAACACTAAAAACAACTGAAAATATATGGACACTTTTACACAAACACACACACACCTTTACTTAGCTATCTAAATGGGGACATTGCATAGACTTATGTTGTTTTTATATATAGTTTTATAATGTTTTAAAACCTAACCCTAACCTACACCATAATCCTAACCCTAACTGAAAACTTTCTGCATTTTTACAAACGTTATTTCCTTTTATACTGTTTTTACAAACGTAATGTTGTCATGTTTAACTCAATTCTGGGTACAAATTTGTCCCCGAAATATGGTTAAGTAGGTACACACACACACACACACACAAACACTTTACATAGAAATAGGCATTTTTATATTTTCAAAAAACATCACTTAGTATGATATAAGCTGTTTTCCTCATGGGGACCAAAAAATGTCCCCACAAGGACAAGGATTTTGGATATTGCAATCTATGTCCCCATAATGTAGGGTCTACCAGGCCACACACACACACACACACAAACTTAAATTAAATACCAAAGTCCTTATTTCCATACAACTAATCATCGATACTCTGAACTTAAACCCATACATTAACTCAACCCTTTTTACAATTAAAAAAATGTACTTAATCTATATATTGTTTTTATAAATAATGATAGCACCAGATGTCCCTGATGGACGAATATGTAAATCAAGATCAGTGGTACACGCACACACACCTCGTGGTCAACATATGCCAACCAAAATGTTCATTTACATATTATCACTATTCCCAATTTGCATGAGACATTTTTAAAACAGTGGCTTTCATCCACACGATTAAAGTATGTGTCCAAAGCACATGTGTGTATTGATCAGTCATGGACTGTTGGATTGACTAAGCTGGTCTTTCAATCAATATGCACAATGATAAGACTTACAATTATACAAACAAACTAATGAAGGTTTCAATGTGCAAAAACTCATGTTTAATATAAGAAATGGACAGGTAATGATTAAAAGCTAGGCCATGATCTCTGGCAGCAAGAAGAGCCAAGGGAAGATGTGGGGATCATAATGTGACAAAAGCCTCCTTCAGCATCAGCTGAGAGCTATTCTCTCCCCTTCTGCTAATAACTGGATTAGTTGTGGAGGCAGAAAGGGGGTGGAGAGACAGACAGACTGAGCAGCAGGTCCAAACAAAACGGACACAGATTAAAAAACGAGGGGGGTGAAGGTGCTTTGGGATCCCAATTCCCACATGCATCGGGGAGGTGTCCTGATGAGCCGACTAATTATATCAATATTAGGGGGAAAGGATGTAGGTGGCATAGAAAACGAGAGAGTGAAGGGTATTAAAACTAGAAAAATCTGCTATCGAAAAAATACTTGACTATGAATATATTAAATATCTTTGTTAACTCTCATATTCAAATTTCCCTTGGTCTTTCAAAGTACGAATCTATCAATGATGTAGCACTACTTATATCCACAACAGGCATTCACAATTTTCTAAATGGTACACAATGCATAAAAAAGCCAACCAGTTTGTTTGAGCAGCCAAATATGAGAAGTATCATAATGCACTAATGAGGCAATATATAAGCTACAGCTTTAAAAAAGAAAAAAAAAAGAAAAAAAGCTGTCAATACCAAACATGGCTGTCTAAACCCTTCATTTTATTAAAACTCTGGGTAAGTCTGACCTTGTTTGGAGAATTAAAGAGATAGAAGGAACAGATATGACAGAGAGAGAGAGAGAGAGAGAGAGAGAGAGAGAGAGAGAGAGAGAGAGAGAGAGAGAGAGAGAGAGAGAGAGAGAGAGAGAGAGAGAGAGAGAGAGAGAGAGAGAGAGAGAGAGAGAGAGAGAGAGAGAGAGAGAGAGAGAGAGAGAGAGAGAGAGAATCACAGAGAAAACTATAAAAACAGCTGTGGTGCTAAGGAATTCTGGGAAACTCTATGAGACAACTTTCCACTCTCGACGTGAGAAAGACAGAGCAGATCCTCAGAGACGCTTTACAAACACTGTTAGCTTGAAAAGGGAGAGAGAGGTAAAGAGGGATATCTGAAAATAAGGGAAACTATATTATCCATATATCTTTGAAAGATAGCTTAGGGGTGATCAAGTTGTGGGACAAAGAGTGATTTAGCATATAAGTGTTGTATTTATGTAGTGAGTAGAGAAAGGAGAAAATATGTAAGAAACTGATCCTTTCTGCGCAATGAGAAAATGAATAAAGAAGGACAGATGTGTTCATTCTTAAACCCCAAATCACTATACTCTAAATTATAAGTGCTGGGTTGTTTCAACCCATGTTTGGGTCAAATATGTACAAACCAACCGTTGGGTTTCAAAATTAAATTTAAAAATGTAAACCAACGGTTGGGTTTGTCCATATTTGACCTAACATGCACTTATAGCATTTATAATTTAGAGAGAGCGTATAGCTAAAATTCAAATTACTTATATTCTTTACTTTACTAAACTTGTCCCAAAGAGACTTTATTGGTCAGTTTGGCCCTAGTTTTAGTATGCCAGTCTTAGGACTCATAGGACCCTTGAGTTGAGTTTCCCAGGTTTTCCTTCCCTTTAATAACACAGCCTGCACAAAATCGAGGCAAAACATACTGTGTGAACATATAAATCACTCAAACTTGTGTGTAGGGAACTAGAAAAGTTGTGTAACTGGACTTACCTGTCAATGATGACAGGATCGGATGGTGTCTCGTTGCGATTGCCGCAGCTTTTTTTCTCACAGCAGCGACTTTGTACGGGAAAAGAGAACATAATGAATTATTAAAACTTGCTCCATAAGACCAGTACAATTAAGACTCAGAAAAAAAAGGCAGGCCAGCAATCTGTCACATTGATTGTGAATGATCAAGCTCAATCCCTGCTTCTAAAGCATACACACACAAACCCGACCCTATCAGACACACACACACACCGTCGGTGGACCTCCTGCCCCCCCCCCCCCCCCACCACAAACACACACACAATCCCCCCACCCCATGCACCACGCCACCAGCATAACAAAAGTGCCCCCCACCCCTGGCCATCTGCCTATATGCTTTCTCCTCACAGTCCCCCCCGTCAGACAGAGTCACTCCCCAGCTGTGTGGCCTGCCCTCTGCACCCCCTTCCCCATCAGCTCTGTTATTAACCAGCTGTGAGCGCCCACTCGGGCATCTGCTGGCTACACAATGGGGGCAGAGCCAATTCTGAGTCCCCTTCTGCCCTCCCTAATGCTGTCCTGAAGCCTGAGGTCACTGCACACCCCCTGTCTCTTCTGTCTCCTGTGACACTTGCTGTTCCTTTTTCTCTCAGTCCAGCTACCATATACTCTCTTGGACATTGTGCTTGTGCTTGTTCCAAACCCAGGCTCATTGAGAAAACGTGCCTGTGGCGACATACATGCAAAAATGACATTACGTTGTGTCGTGCACGTTTCGCAACACTTTTTTTAAAGTGAAAAGTCAAGTGACGCTAAACGAGTTTTTTCGGTTTTATCTGAAACAGACGAACGTGAATCTTTTATTATGTTTTAAGGCAAGGTTTTATTATGTTGGTTGTTGTACGTATCACAGCAGCTCGCAAATTAAATGTGCGGTGAGTGAGGGTGAAGGTTAACGCTCTATTGCGTTTGAAAACAACGGGATAGTTAAAGGGATAGTTCACCCGAAAATGAAAATTAATCATATAAAGCGACCGTTTCTCTTCAGAATATTTTGACTAAACCGCTCAATTCATATGGATTAGTTTTACGATCTCTTTTTGAAGCGTCAAAGTGGTAGTTGCGTATCTGTCAATGGAGGGAGAGAAAACTCTCAGATTTCATCAAAAAGATCTTCATTTGTGTTCCGAAGTCTTACGGGTTTAGAACAACATAAAGGTTGTTATTAATGACAGAATTTTCATGTTTGAGTGAACTAACACTTTAACTATAAGTCAAACGTGAGATAAAATCACATTTACTAAAGCAACCATGCAATTTTAGTGTTCTTCTACAAGTCTTTGAGCTCTTTTATCGTGACTTGTTTCACTGGACTCGTACTTTGCAAGTGCAATGCTGTACCAGGTGATGTTAAGTGATGGTCTTAAAATGTACAGGTGAAACTCGAAAAATTCGAATATCGTGCAAAAGTTCATTAATTTCAGTAATTCAACTTAAAAGGTGAAACTAATATATTATATAGACTCATTACATGCAAAGTGCGATATTTCAAGCCTTTATTTGTTATAATTTTGATGATTATGGCTTATAGCTATGAAAAACTTTTCACAATATTCTAATTTTGAATTTGGGGTTTTCATAAGCTGTAAGCCATAATCATCAAAATTATAACAAATAAAGGCTTGAAATATCACACTTTGCATGTATTGAGTCTAATATATTAGTTTCACCTTTTAAGTTGAATTACTGAAATAAAAGAACTTTTGCATGATATTCAAATTTTTCGAGTTTCACCTGTATTTGTTTACAAATGATACACTTTGGTCAAAGTGTTTTGAGGTCATAACATAGTATTGTGCAAGGAATTGTGCGAAAATAAGTTTTATTAATTACAATCTGCCCCTGTAATCATATTTCTTTTGTGTGTGAAAAGAAATAAAAGTTGTTGCTGTGTTATTGCCTCTAGTGTTCGTTTCAGCTGGAACCTGCAGTGATTTGTATGCATTGGTAAGGGTTTTGAGTTCTGCAAAAATATAGTTGCGAGTGAATGTTCTGTCATCTTTGCGGGAATGATTGTAGAAAGTAACATTTATTTTTAGCAAAACTATGAGAGAGAATAGCACATACCAGGCACATGCCATTTAACCATAGATCAGTACAATATGCGTCAAATGACTAAACATGCCATCGTTTCCAAATACCTCTGTTTTCACAGACCACACTACAATGTGAAACCGCCACTTTCAAATTTATCCACATCTGAGAGCATCTTCAAAAATCTCAGGTTTTCGCAGGACAAAAACACAATCTCATTGACGGAAGGCCAAGATGTAGAAAAAAAGATGTTTCCAAAACGTAGCCTTAGTATCTTCTGTGAACACTCTTAATGAACATCACTGTGGGCTTATAGTGAAACTGACTCAAGAAATGTTTTTGGTTGTTAGAAGACTGGAAATTCAGTATTGTTTCCTGAAGATGTATTTCTACCAAGGGATTCAAACACAGAAGCTACTACTGCTATTAAAGACAAAGTAGTTCTTAAAAGATACATTTTTGTAACATTTTAATGATCTAAAGAACTGTTTTCCACTATAAAGAACCTTTTGCACAGTGGAAATGTTACATGGATGTTAAAGGTTCCTCATGAAACCATTGATGCCAGAACCTATATTTTTAAAGGGATACTCCACCCAAAAATGAAAATTCTGTCATAATTTTCTCGCCCTCAAGTTGTTGCAAACCTGTATGAGTTTCTTTCTTCTGCTGAACACAAAGGAAGATATTTTGAAGAACGATTGGAACATTGGCACCATTGACTTCCATAGTATTATTTTTTTCTACTATGGAAGTCAATGGTGCCAAACAACTGTTTGGTTCCAATCGTTCTTCAAAATATCTTCCCTTGTGTTCAGCAGAAGAAAGAAACTCATACAGGTTTGCAACAACTTGAGGGCGAGAAAATTATGACAGAATTTTCATTTTTGGGTGGAGTATCCCTTTAAGAATTGTGATTTAGAAGTGGCTGGAGTATGGATCATTGTACAGCAAATTTGCGGCACTCTTTCAGACATTTTTCAGACAATAGCACATATTGGTTTGATTGTGTTTTTTACTCACCTGCACATGACCTCATGAGTTAGCAGAACACGACACATTTCTGGATTCTTGTTCTGTCCTTCATATGAGATGGGCTGAACAACGTAAAACAGAGTTTAAAAGAGGTCATCAACACACACAGCAAAACTAAGAACAAGTTTCTAGTGGCTAGAAGACAAAGAAACTGGTGCTTTACCTGTTTAGTGACTGAATCAATGAGACGTGCATATAGGTCTTGTTCTGTGCGAACACCTGTGAACAAAAACAACAAACCAACCTTGTTGATGTCACACTCTGAAACAAATGTACAAACTTGGAACCACATTGCCACTGGATCAAATAGTACGAGAGAGTTGGGCAATAGCAGCTTTATTACAATCAGTTGTTTCTTTGTTAGGTAAACTAAAATATATAATGTACATGTATAATATAAATCACACGATGATGGCTTTTCTTTGCTGCAAAAACTAAAAATGTGGAATGCTATATATATTTCTCAACAGACAGAATATCTCCGTGGACATAAAGGTCTATATGAGAAGAGAAATGATGAGCTTACCATTACTATAGAGGAGCTGGAGTTTGTAGTGAGTTCCATTGTTGGTCTTTTCTCCCGTCTGCTCCTTAGAAGAACAGCAGGGAAAGGCAAGGGAAGGACAAAGAATTTTGATTAAGCTACACAAAATTAACATTTAAATACGGGAGTTCATGGTTGAGTATTGTCTACACAACAATATATATATTTTTAATAATCACAACAAGCAAGTGGTACATTTTCAAAAGTCAAATCTCATGGCTTTACCATGGTAGAGACTGCTAAATTACTGTTAGTCACCCTTAACTGTATACATTGGGTACAGTGAAAACATTTATTGTTTTAAGCAATAATAAGCAAACTTATTGTAAAACTCATGGCTGTGTCATGTATTTATTACAACTTTTGATGAAGAGATACAATTACAAACATTACAGATTCTATATAAAGTTAGGTAATGTAAGTGCATTTTCTAATGTGACAACTATTACTGTAATATATTTAGTAACAAGAGTGATTTGAAACATGTATCTTGCATTGTTGCACTGCATTTACTGTTAAAACGAAATTGAAAGAAGATCTTGTGCTCTCATTATGTTCAAATATTGCATTGTGAAACAATGATTACTTGGAAAGAAAATATGTAGGCTACAACTGTAATGAAAGCATGAGATTATGTTTTGGCAAAAAAAAATGGCTTGTGTTTTGCAAGTGTGATCAGTTTGAGTTTTAAAATTACCACTTGTGAAGAAAAAAACAGTAATAGGTACTAATTTTTTTGAGTTTGAGAGCCTGCATTAGGCTATCTTGCCTACCAAGGATGGATGAAAAGTAAGGAAAAAAATGGACATCAACAAGCAGGAAGATTTGGAAGGAAGGAGTTGATGTTGTAAAATAAGTGTCCAAGAATGGCTTCTCTAGTTGTTCTGTATTTTTAAATATTCCATACATCCTGTGTGTTTTATAAGGTTTTGTGTTTTCTCTTAAAGCTCAAGCTTTAACTCTACATAGCAAACATCATTAAAAATCCAGAAATGTTCAATCATGTGAAACATGCTATAGTATAGAATATACCTTGTCCTGCTCCACAAAGTCCACAAATGCTGTCCTCTCCACTTCCACAGGCTGCCCACTGCGATCATAGAGTGCCAGAACAAAATGGAAGAAGTTGGACTTTCTGAGATTGGAGGGAGGCTGTTTTTCAAAGTGAGCACGGGATAAGGCCACTCCACTGTGGATGTAGAGTTTATTTCAGACAGTTTATTTCATCATTTTTTCACAATTCATATAACTGACTATTGATATAATACCATCAACTAAATTCAACATAAGCTCAGTACAATTCTTAATGCATGTCCCGGACAAGATCAAAATGAAAAATACTTTCACATTTGGAGCTACATTTCCACTGATTCCACCTATTAAAAATGTCTGCTAGTGTCGGAATCTTTATAACATATTCTGATCATTGTTGTCACGATTAAAAAAAGTGTTATAAAAGCCTAATTTCGAAAATGTTTGTTTCATTTTTATTATGCTCTCACCAAATTTGATTACAAGTTCTACATTTTTTTTAAATGTTGAATTTGTTTTCTTTATGTGTGTTTGCAGCAATATCAGATGGGCTATATCAAAAGTCTTTAAAAGGCACAGTGTGCACTTGATGAACAACCCAAATGTAGCCATTTTTTTTTTATTACAATTATGATTGTTTTAATAATGTATCATTTGAAGATATAACTTATGCACACGGACTTCTTTAATTAATTCAGGTAAAATTTTAAAAAGCTGGAAAGAAGCTACAGTCTTTAGCGCAACATGGCTACACTGTACAGAAAGCAAAAAGCAAATTTACTACGAAATTATTTATAGTCCTAGATAGACCTGACAACAAACAGCTGTCTGCATTTCTTAAAAGCAGAATTGATGTTTTGGTGGAAACGCAGCTCTGGGCAGTTGTTAACATCGATACATTTAGCTATGAAAGAAATCAGATACAGATTTCGACTTATCAAAACATACACATTTAAAGGCGATCAGTAGATTTGTGTGTTTTCGTTAATAGTAATAGGCTATATCGATTATTAGCCTAATTTGAATTACCACTGCATCCAACTTTTAATGATTTGATTTTGAATTCCTAAAATTATTCAATTGTGCATATCAAAGTTCGACTGGATTAAACATTGCCTATTCTTAAAGAATAGGCTATGTCGGCGACTCTTGAAATGAGCAAGAAATGAAAAGCAAACAAGAACGTCACAAACAATCGCCGTTCAAGTGACGTGCTCGAGCATCTTAAAGTCTACAATAGGCTACAATAGGGTTTCATTGTATCTTGTTTGCCTCTTTCATTCGGCTCGTGACTCTGTCACCTCAAACTACAACAGCAGTGAAGACTGAGCTCTGGAGCTATTAATCTCCGGTGTCATTTTACATCCACAACCACAAAACAGCCCAACCTGTTGCTGTAGACATTTTTAGTTATAGAAAACAAAAGTTAACTGATAGTTCGTGGTTGACGACGTTTACTACTAGCATACTAATACTAGCCTACTATAGGCTACACTAACAACCGCACGTGGGGGAAAAACATTTTGACAACTCAAGCAAATTGTTTTTAGGCTAACAGTTTAATCTTTTTAATCCTATATGTGTGCTCTGTTCTTTTGGAAACAGTTTAACATTTTTTTTTGTAGTAGCCTATGCTTGTTATTTGAGGCTAAATTCACTCATGACAGAACTGTCAATAAAGAAAATGTTTAGGTGGTGTTTTTGTATGTAAAAAATCAATGCAGAATAGCCTACCTCTGTGCCGCTATGTTTGCATCAATAACTCCGACATTCCGCACCCAAGAACGAACAGAATCCATTTCTTCTTCAAAAGTTGTCACTTTCAACTCGGTGATGGTTCTTGTCGAGTGATCTTGACTCCCAAACATTTACCACAAAATTGGAATGACAAGGTAACCCTCTTGTGTAAAACTGCACTTGCTTACAGCAAACAGTCAAAAATAATCGGAAGATTCTCCTGATGACTCAATTGAACGATTTCCCGAGGATTTGGGAAGACCGAGATTCTCCGAAATGGCCCGTGATGTCCTCCGTGGTTCTTTTTTGGAAGTTTTTTTTTTTGTTGGAAACTTGCTTTCTTGGCGTAGGTTTATCCTTTTTCGAGACCCATTCAAAGTCGTCCACTCGCTCACCTGTTCTACGAGAAGAACATTCACTTCCCAAACAACGTCTGCAGATGTGCTGCTACGGATAAACCCACTCAGGATACGAGTTAAAACATCCACGAGATGCTCTGAAGAGGTGTCGTGTTCTGCCCTGTACCCTGTAACTGGTGAGGATGGGGATGGAGCCCGTTTAAAACCATAAGACCGTGATGATGCTGCGAGAGTCTGTTGGGACCTATTGTATGAATGGGTTGCAGAGCTCGAAAAGGAGGAGGGGCAAATCCGTATTTGGAGAACTGAAAGGTCCCCCTTTTTGTGGCGTTTTTGCAGTCTGACTATATTCAAAGAACATCGCTTACCAAATTAAAAAGTCATTTTTTTTATGTATAGGGGTCCGTATTTCAGACTTCTTGCAGTTACTGACTGTTTGTTGGAATAGCCTAAAATACATCGCTGCATGACTATCAGGACACATCTTTGGACAATTAAATATAAAGAAATTTCAGTGACTTTTTTTTCCTCATGGATTTCAAGAATTACAGGTCTATATTAAACAGCCTAAAGCATATATGACTTTTTTTTAATTATTTGTTTGTTTGGGTGTTATGATTATTTATTTAGGCTATATCTTTAAAATATGTAGCCTAAGTAGCCTAAATGTATCGGTTACAAAGAAAAAACGAATCGCAAATGAGTTTGAACGACTGACATCTGCGGGTAGAAAGCAGCAGACGGGCAAAACAATGAGATTTTTCGAAAGTTTTTTTTAGACCATTTCCTCTCTGTAAGAAGAAGCTTTTCCATCTTTTCTTGCTACTGGATAGGGTTATTGTCTGTGCGTGCGGCTCAAATAACTAAACAATGAATGTGAGCCCCCCCACCAAACACACACACACACACACACACCACCACCACCACCACCCGGCTTATACCAACCATCTGCCAGCACGCCTCGAGTCAGCTGTTCAGCCTATTATGTGACCTGTTGCGGAATCCACGCGCACTCTGCAACATATAGCACTCACCGTTTCCTAAATCACTAGCCACACCACTTGTACTTCATATGTTTAGCCTATATAAAATTTTTATAGTTGTTTATTTTGTAATCGATAATACATATTTCGTAACCCTTTTCTTATCTTAAAAAATAAATAAATACATAATTAAATAAACCGGCCTTACTGGATAGCAGATGCTTTACGCGTGAATGTGATTAACCACTAGCCTAATTAACCACCCCAATCGCAATTTCGGACGAATAGGCTATAGGCTTACGGTGTGATTAGTATGAAAATGTAAGATTTGTATGTAAAAAGTATATGAATCTCTATCCCTATGGCTACATTACTCCTCAGCAGAACGTATAGGCCTACGAAACAAACGAAATGAAAATGAATTTGTAACAGATTAAAATTTGCCTGAGTAGGCTACGCGCATCTATTCCGCCGAATCAGTAGCCAGGCCTATTATCGAACTCCGTTCATTTACTTGGCCTACATTAAAACACACTATCATATCAAGAAAAAAAATGTTGGGCTAGGCCTGAGGTGAATTTCATTCTAAGATTAAAAAAAGACGTGATTTAGAAACAATCCTTCATTTCCAGATTGGTTATTTTATCATTAGATATATTAGGCCTAATTACTTTATCATTAAAAAGCCTATACTACACTCACTCAAATAGCCGAATGTTCTGCCAGCAGGTGTTTGTTTGTGTGCGTTAGCTGAGCATTAACTTTGTGCATAATAGGCTATGCAACAACAGCAACATTTGTAGAACTCTTTGGTTCGGTCTTAGGGTATTATTTTACGGAACTTGGTTTAAGACCAATAAATAGCCTACTTTTTGTTTAATATTTAGGTCTTCGTAATGTGATCAATGCGACATTTTCTGAGAAGACCAATAGAAACAGAACACGCCCCTTTGAAGAGGAGAATGATGCGCAACCAATCAACTAGATTACTTTCAAAAACATTTCAACGTGTTGTGAAAGAATAGCCTAATATTAGTAGCCTAGGCTATTCATTTTTTGTTTGTGTTTTTAGTGTCCCATCGTTGGCTGTCAAATGCTCGAGACGTCACTGAAATAAACTGATCTCTTCGATTTAAGATATTTTTGTGCAATTGAGCCAGTCTATAAAAATTGTTAGCAAATGTCAAGTCTTGAGATGAACAAAAATAGACCGACTAAGTGTCATTTAATAGCCTACAAAAAGTTTAGAAGCTGCAAAATTCAGTTATTTTACCCATTCAGAAATGTTTTTCTTGATTAATAAGGAAATAGCTACATGCAAGTGATTCTTTTGGTTGGATTTGCCCATTTTTTTCTTAACGGCCTAACTTAGCCCAATCATTTATTAACCAATTTAAGAACTATAAAATATTCAGACAAAATCCACTTTCCGTGTTCATTTTTACGAAATAGGCCGTGATGTTTTACCTTTAAGTTAATTGATAGTCGCATACTTGTACATTAGGCCTCACTTAGTCCTACATTAGCCTAGATAATATTTCCATAGTGTGAAAAAAAAAATTATGCTGGAGAAAAAAAATATGGGCAAAACCGACCCGGCAGTTATCCCCTGGCTATAGGCTCCAGTAGGCTATAGCTTAGGCCTAATGTAAATATTTAGTTTTATATTACCGTATTGGTTGAACTTTAAGACTAAAGAGTAAGTGTCTGGAAGCAGGTCAGCCTCTGTCAAACATACAGGACTGCGACTGACACATCCTTGAAATGCCCCGTATGACACAGGTCGTGATCTGAAGATGGCGAAATCAGGCTGGGCCTATAGGTAGCTAACGAAATCCGAATGTTGAGCAACTGTACCGTTTTTAATTGGCCTTTAAACCTCCATATGGGATAATGCACTGAGCCGCCACTGAGACATGCACCGGCCCATACGAGTCATTATCGGCTTCCATAAGGGTGCGTTAAAGCCTAATAACGAAATCCAATTTTTTAACAAATTTTTTTTGTGAAGCCTTGAACTTATATGGGACAATATAAGACTCGCAGTAGGCCTAAGGAAAAAGTGCCAGTCAGAACTGAAAATAACGGCCCTGGTTAAACAACCAAAAACAACCACAGCTTCCCACACCTCCTCGTTTACTAATCTTCTCCAGAATCCTGCGATCGGTGTGTGAGCGTCGCCTCGTGGTACAATCACACAGAGGCATAAAATCACTTTCCAGAATGTTTTCGTTCACTGTTTCCTGGTGATGGGATGATCTTCCAAACCCTATCCGGACTGCCGACTCTGACTTAAAGAAGCCTATAGAAGCAAAACACTCATCTCATCCGTGAGCACTGCACGGTCCACCCCCTCCTCCAAAAAAAATATTATGTTTCATTAGGCTTTAACTTACCCCCAAGTTTCCAACATCGTCTGGAATTAGCTACTTTGTATTGCTCTCGAGTCTTAGTCATGGTCTTAGTGCCTCCTTAAGACGAATCGCTGTTGCTACTCATTTGTAAGCTTTGGATAAAAACGATGTTGAATAAATTAGGCTACTATTTAAATAAAAACAACTATTTTTTAAAGGTTATGCTTTCCTTATGTATTCGTTTTCATTGGGTTTATTTAATTTATTTGCATTTCTATCAAATGTTGTCATGCCAGTCCAAAGAAAAGAAACATTTCAGGCAAGGAGAGAGGGATGCTATGACATAGGCCACTATTTTTGGTAATGCCTAAAATTATCTTCATTTTCATCCTAAACGACCAAACTCCTTTTATTACATTTATCAATCGGAGACAAATAATAATATATGAAAGCTAAAAGTCATGCATAAAGTAGCCTATAGTGAACTGTTTGCAAGCTTTCGCTGACGAAACAGATGAATGGCTGCATACATACCACACTAGTGGCGGCTCTCTACTGTAAGTCTATGTCATTCTTTGGATAAGAGCAGTTTGCTGTGCCACTCCAGCCCCATTAGTTTCCCCTCTGCACCTTGTTAAAAATGGGCAACAGACATTGTGCCCTTTTGAGACTGCTGTTTGAGATTGTCACGCTCACTGACTCTATAGGGAAAAAAGTTGACCCTTGCAATAGGCTACCTTTTGTATAATGGTATAATAAAAGTTGACCCTTGCAATAGGCTACCTTTTGTATACCACCAGTACCAGATCATTTCCAGTATACTGGACTGACCGCTAATGGGAACCTGCATGTAGTAGGCTATCTCACATTTCATTTCCTAGCAATTCAAAGGCTTCTGATTCTGGTCTGCTTGAGAAACGTCAGAGACGTGAGTCTGTTTGGCTAATATGTTCACTAGCCACAGGAATTGACGTGGAGTTTTACAGCACACACACATAACATTATGTTTATATTGCTATCAATATTGCATTTATTTACTATTCCATTTAGTGTATTATTTACATACATGTGAAATTGTTTATTCATAACAAATGAGATGCTCTTTATTTCTTTTCATGCACAGTTTTCGACTACAGAAATAATTCATTTAACTAAGAGGGGAACATGTGATGTCCTTACATTAATTTGCCACTAGATGGAACTCTTGTGTTTTTTTTAGTTCTGTTTTTTTAACTCTTGTGAACTTTTTTTAGTTCTGGGCACTCATTACATTGTTAAAAAAAATGTGGATTCTTTAGTGTTTCTTGTCTACATAATATGCTACAAAATAAATTAGTTGTAGGCCTATACCAAAATGTTCTTTGCATTCAGAATAGGTCCGGATAGACTTCAGCCTAATAGCGAATGGCAAATTTGACATGTTTCTTATACATGTAATTTTTCCTTAAGGCTCAAATGATGGAATTTTTTTATTGCCACTTTTCTAATAAACTGTTTCTAGTATCTACTTTTAATTTTTGTTTCTATTTTCCATTTTCAATATTTGTCTATGTGTATATGTTTCTGCATATATAACGTACAAGACACTGAAAACTAACAAGAAACTGGAGCGTATCTATCCCTGCATCCTTATGTGCATCAGTCCATCCTAAATAGTAGTCTACATGAGATTAGAACAAGAACATCGTGGTGTGTTAAAAAGAGTATGCCAAAAGTCCCCTTGATGGTCTAGTATTTCTGGTAGGTTGTCAAAAATGTGGATCTGTGCACACTCTAATAGCTGATATTGCCCACAACAAACTATTGCGCTTTGGAGAAGGAATCAGTTCAGAACTACAAACGTGAGTACAAAGACCTACAACTATGGCGGATGTGCATCAGAACATGTGTATGTACTGTATATCTGAAACCGCCCCCTACACCCTCAGTATATGAGAGGACAGCCATTTGTAGTGGTGTCCGAAACCATAGTGGACATTATAGAGTGCACTCATTCTATCCCACAGCCAATGTCATCAACAACTTCAGTGGCTTCATGTCTCCGGATGCAGTCGATATAATGGAGAATGATGATGACTGTTGGGTCAAAGGTGTGGTCCACCAAAGAGACTTGAAAAGCAGGCCCCACCAACGTGTCTTGGCATGGGGTTGAAGTGGACCAGTACCTTCCCTTGGACTGGCTCCCGGTATGGATGAAAATGATGGCAAACACCATCCCCCACAATGAAGAATCCTTGTGGAGGATACAGACCTCTCTGTATATCCTGCTGTTCTTCAGGACTTTTGTATCATGGAGAGAACCTGGATATCCCACAAAAAAAGTTAAGGAATCTGCCCTTCCCATCACATACTGCCTGCAGAAAGGTAGAGCTTCCTATTGATGTAGTCTTGGCCAGTGGGTCCAGTGTTAGTCTTGATTCGGCCATGACTTCCTTCTATGGCACCCACACACTGGCCAAGGCCAACGTTGTTAAGCTCTTGGACAGTTGGCAACTTGCTGCAATCTTTATGATTCCGGCGTGAACCAGCTGCACAGAGGCTACTCGAACCCGAAAGGCCCCGGGACAGAAAGATGTGGCTGCCAGGACATGGTTATCAGTATAGTTATGTGGTGTCCTGGGCCATGTGGCAACATCCTTATTAAGGCGTCCATAGAGACCCGGCTCAGTTTGAAGTTCACCTTCAGGTCCTGCTTACCATCAAAGTATAATTTTAGCACAGGTACAGTATATTGCAATACAGTTGGAACACTGAAACATTCTACCCTGGAATGTGCAACAGAACACCTTTGATGAGTGTTCCGTTTGGATGGCCTTTCTTTGTTGTGTATCATTTTGCTGTCCAGGTGAATTTTTAAACAAACATGTGCCAACTGTAACATTAATACTGTAATGATATTTATGAATCATTGACCCGATTCGTTCAAAAAAGCTGAATGTTCAAGAACAAAACACCACTCTGTGTTGAAGACGGGACTGTGCTTTTTTTTTTTTTTTGGAACTTTAGTTGGCGAAATTGACAATGCTGTGTCTAAAACTTACTTACTGTTAAACTTTTTTTGTAAACTTACTTACAAAAAAAAGTAGGCTATTCTTGCTCATGATTTCGCTTTACTATATCATGTTATAAACACAAAAACAACAACTCATGGGCTATTGTAAAGTCGTGTCTTGAATTTTGAGGGCATTTTTTTTTCTTCTCATTTTGGTGGCGTTTCCAAACGTCCACGACGCTATTTTACTCCAACACACCAGACTAGCTTTCTTGTTGTTTAGCTTAATGGAGGTGTGTTAATGTTGGTTTCATTTCACAGCAGTGACAGTGCGAAGTTTAGGTCAAACACGATAGTTACCGGGCTGTCTGTCACCAATGAAGGCAAGTCAGTCAGGGAGATGTAGATGCTCTGCAGGGCGCTGGTTGTTGTTGTTGGTTCTTTGACGAGGCATGTGGGATGAGGGGAAAAAGCGGCGGCTCGGTCTGTCTTGCAGAATCAGAACTTTTAAATTCAGTTGTCGGGGACATGCTTATGCCGAGTTCAGACTGCACGATTTTAGCCCCGATTTTGGCTCGCCGACAGGTTTTGAGAAATCGCCGACAAATGCCCGAAATCACAGGCAAATCGGTGCTCGTTCACGCGAGTGACAATCACGCAGTGTGAATGAGCAAAGACGCGATCTGAGAGAATCGCCGACGAGTCGCCGACGCCCATGAGATATTTGGCATGCTAAATATCTGGACCTGTCGGCGATTCACAATCCTGCTGTGTGAATGTGTTCTGACTGAAAACTACATCGGCGATGACCGACAGCCAATGAGAGAGCAAGATACAGGGAGGAGGAGGAGGAGTTATAGACCAGAATATCAGTATTTTAATAGATAGGCCTATATTTACAATTATATCAAACAGAAACAAAGCACAAACATTTGTATGACCAGCAGAAACAGCAGGACATTTGCAAAATTATTTATTTACCCCCAACTCTATTTGCAAAACACAGTCCTTGCTCCCCTCGTCTTCCCAACCATTTCCAGCATAAACTGTTTATTTATTTTTTCATTTTCGCTACAAATCAGTGCACAGACAATTTGTAGGCTATCATTTTTAATAACAAATTCAGTGTCGCGCGAGAACTCCGGTCTCACGCACGCGCGCGTGATCTTCCGTTATTTCCTATCACTTCTCGCGTTTGTTTGGTTGTGAAACGTAGTTTGCGGACCAGGTAGAAGTTGTCGGCGATTCTTTCTTTTGTAAAGTCATGCAGTGTGAAACCTCCTGTCGCCGATTCATCGTGCAGTGTGAACACAGCAGCAACTGAATGTTACCCCAGATAGTCATGCAGTGTGAAAACAACAGTGACCCGATTATTTTGAAAATCGTGCAGTCTGAACTCGGCATTAAAGGTAGCCTACCCTCTAGCGGATAAAAGACAAAACTGCATGCATTTTGCGGAAGAACATTGTTTTGGTTGTGATTCGGCTCTGCTTTACTGTGCGAATGAATATGGTTCTTTCTCATAACTAAAAATAAGAGAGAGGGATTATTCTACTGCTCACAAACATTCACCACTAGGCTTAAGAGATACAACCATTTTAGATGGAAAGGATCTCAAGCTGACTATAGCTGAAGAAGTTAGGCTACTGACCTATGGCATTCCTTGAAATAAATTCCATCACAGCGCTACAACCATGAAATGACTCTTCACAATATATTGCTTTACAATGAACTCTGTTAGAGAGCTAACGTTACATATAGAAATGTATATGTTCAATAAAATACCTTACTCACATCTCCACGTCGCGTTTACAACACTTTTTTTTACATAGTTATGGTAGATACTCAATAATAGTTATCAATAATAATAATAATAATACTAATTTTATGCATCACAGCTTAAAGGTTGGCTCTACTGCCATCTTGTGCTGTATGAAAGAATGATCTGGAGGCTCAAAAGGAAAATGAAAAGGAATTATACAGGATCACCTAACATTGTGTACCGATCAACCTGTCTATGATTATTATTATATTTCCTGTTTTGCTTCTAACAAAATAAGCACATATCCATTCAATATCTTCCTTTGGATTAAAGGATGTAGCTGCATCAGGAACACACATGCAAGCTGACACACAAAACAGAGTATGACTGTAGATTTGACACCAGGATTATGAGAATTTATTATATTTTCTTTGAAGATTATTTTGTGTGGAGATGATTATGATACATAGAGATCAGTGTCCAGTTATCCCTGTTATTTTCTCCATAATTACTTCGACAGTAATATACTGTTTGGATCTTCAAATCCAAATGTAATCTAAGACCCATAAGCTGATAAAACATGAGCCCTGGGGGTTTTTAATTTTTTTTTATTGTTATCTTTCATTTATTGTTTTTTATTTTGTTTTGTTTTTTACATTTGTTGTTTATTCCCAGGTTTTGTTTTTGTTCTGGTGAGGTGGAATTTTGATTTCATTTCTGTTTCTTGTTATTGCAACACATTGTATTTCACATGTGGTAGTCTTATATTTAAGATTATATAAAACCCCACAATACCTTTGATGTTATGAATAAAAGATTGGTCGAAATTGATTTGCGCATTAGTACATGCTAGATTAATGCAACAATATCCTAATATGTTAAGCAAACAAAGGAGATGTTTACTTGTGAAGAATTACTATTGTCAGATGTAAGTGTAATTTTTATGGCAAAGATACCAATGAATTTGTTAAATGTGAATGTAAATAAATATACAAGTGATTTATTTACATAAATAATAATACACACAATGTGAGCATCTTAGAATACAGAGGAACGTTTTTCAATCACAACCCACAGAAACACGTTGAAAACATTATTTACATTTGTTATACAAAATATTTTGTATTAATTGATATTTTGATGATATTAAGGATTCAGGAGTGCAGGCTTTCTTCTCTTCTTTTGCTGACTGTATCGCAACAATAAAAGCGTTTTCACAATCCTGCCTATGTTGGACAATCCTAAACTAGCTCTTCACATTTGCAGTTGTGCAAAATAGCAAGAACAACAAAAAAGAAGAAGAAGAGGAGGAGGAGGAAGCATGTTCCATTTGCACATATTACTGTAAACATAAGTACCATTAGCACATCTGAGACATTGGAGACAAATACAAGTTCACCAGAGAGAATATTTTTTACAATAGTGTTTATGTAACAATAAATGAAATATTCTGTTTAACAGTCTTCCAGATTGGTGACTACGGCTGCTTTATATATGAGGTCAGAAATATCTCCCAGTGAGGTCTGAGGATAGTGTGTCAAAGCCTGTCTCGGAAGTGCTCCATCTAAACTGGTTTGATGCGTGGGAATCACTTGGTCCACAGACATGGAGGAATACATGGCCTGATTGGCGGGACAGTATGGTTTCAGCTGGTGTCCAGAGAACCCTTCAGGGTGAGCTGTGAAGCAGTGGTTCTGCCAGAGACTGTTCGACTGGTTTTGGAACGGATATTGAGCCAATCTGTCTGATGGACAATTGGAGAAAGATGACACTCCGGTTGTTTCCGAGTGTCTATTCCCCCAGTGTAGGACTCCAGGCAGGTCTGGGGAGATAGAGGGTTGGGGTGGTGTTGGGTGCGGGAGATTTTGAGACCAGGGACTCAGAGCTTGTCTAAGGCTTTGCTGATGGTGACCCGGGCCTCTGTTGACCTCTGTTGCCCTCTCTCTTTGTTCTTGGACGCCAGAATTCAGTTCTGGGTTTAAATCAAGACTGGTTGGTTGAAAGGTAGTGACAGGTATACATCCAGAGCTCATTTCCCCGCCTAGACTTCTCCTTACTGGTGTGGTCAGCTTCTTGCTTTTCATACTGCGAGCCCGTCTGTTCTGGAACCACACCTGGAAATAAATATTAAAATGTCAAATCAAGACGTTGAAATCAAAATAACATCATGATTTGCCTATTCATCGTCCACTACACTTACCTGAATTTTGCTCTCTGGAAGCAGTGTGAGCGCAGCCAGTCTTTCGCGCAGAGTGATGTCTGGATACGGCGTAATCATGAACGCGCGCTCCAATTCTGACAATTGCGCGCGGCTAAAAATCGTCCTCTTCCTTTTTCTCTGCCCATCAGCACTGTAAGTTCTTTCGAGTTCAGGAGAAGACAGCGTATGCTTGGTTGTTACATCTAAAAATTAAAGTCACTTGTTTAGTAAAGTGTAAGAATCTTTCCCGATTCATTTTTAAAGTAAGGTCCCGCGCCCATAGAATTTCTGGGTTCCATAAAGACAGTTCTTAAAAGAACCATTTTAATAATCCAAAGAACCTTCTGTCTAATTGAAAAGTTCAATGGATGTTAAAGATTCTTCATGGAACCATCAATGGAAATAAACAATCGAAGAGTGCTGGTCTTTCTATTTAAAAATAGCGAAAATAACACAAGAAAGAATAAGAACAATGATTATTATTAATTGCTCAAAGTAGTCTCTAACAATCCAAGGTTACACTTTATTTTAAGATGCCATTGTTACAGTGTAATTATATATTTAAGTACTAAGTAATATTAATTAACAACATATTGGGTTTGGTTGAGGGTTAGTTGCATGTAATTATGCATAATTTACTGTTATCACTATGGTAAAAAAAAAAAAGTTAAAATAACTTAAATATGCACCTTAACTAAACTAAAGTTAACAAAACTTAATATTTTAAGTAAAATAGCCTAAAACACGTTCTTTTTGAAGTTAAAACAACACATTAACTATTTATTTTTCTAATGTTGAATTTTAAGTTGTGATAAATCTTTTTTTATAAATATACATGTAATATATGTAACAAGGACACTTTAAAATAATGTGTTACCCAATCCAACAAACGTGTTTAGCCCAAAGTAACATGCTCACCTGTAAACTGGACCATGCTTGTGTTGAAAATAAAATCTCTTTCGGTGTCCACGGTTATTTTTTGAACTAAATCGAACGATTGGTCAAAAAACAATGCCATAGTCCAGTTTGCACTGTAAAAGTTCAGTTCTCGGTCTGAGGTTCCAGTCCTGCTCGCGTCCAGAGACGAAATGTTTCCGAGCGCATTTGAACCCACCTACTTTATACTCGCTGCTTTTCACACCCACACGCTCCTATCGCCCTTCGAGGTGTCGTCGCAGGAACAGCGACAGTCTGAATCAGAGGAGAATACAAACGCTTTCAACTTTGATCCCCCCCCCCCACCCCACCCCACAGGGTAATCCCATAGCATGTCTGGCAACTTCGTGGCCATCTCCTGTCCTGTACTGCCGTGTCGACAGGAAAGCAGAGATCCCGCTTCTGTCTGATGTCTATCAGATCCTTTATCAGGCAAATAACCACAAAACACACTCTCCTCAAAGGCTCAGATGTACAACATCTTTTTTTCCTCACAGAAAATGTTGGTTTTGGACCAAGTTGTTACGAAATCATCAAGCCATAGCCTATATTAAATAAAATGAACCGTAATCAATTAAATTATTAGATAATAATATAGACAGGCACAGGCTATAAATAAAATACTAGGCTATCAAATAAATAAATAGTCAATAAAGAGACCAACTGATATTCCAACAACCTCACAATAAAAGGGGGAATAAATAAAAGCGTTTTGAGAGTTTCATTCATCAAAAATTGTATTCATCAAATCAAAACTTAAATTCAAAATAATCGAAAAATTGCAAAGGATTTGTCACAGCAATCCGTGTACAGCCGGCCGGGCAATACACAAAGTCTGCAGTTAAACATCGTGTTCCGTTATAGGTCTATAGGTAATAATTTTAGACCTATTCCCTGGATGCGTTTTTCTAATATCCAGGGACATATTATTGTCTAAAGGATGATATTACGGATTAAGAGCGGTGTACGACGAATGAACAGTAATCTAAACCCGAGATTACTTCAGTAATCTGTGCGTTTTTCAACTTTGTTGGCACGAGGCTCCATCACTTTCAGGTCAATATTCGAAAGACAACTTTCTTTCTTTCTTTTTACCATCTTACCAAATGCACACTTAGCCGAATATGTGCAACCTTTTGGAAAAAAGATGACTTTGCGTCGTGTTGCGCTATTTAATATAGGCTATAGCCTATTGTGAAAATGACAGACTTTTTTTTACTGACCCGTTCTATTAGACATCATTTAGCCCAATACATTGTGGTTAGAATACACATATAGGCCATTCCAGGCGCTTTGATATGAAAGGTCTTGATAGCGACAAGTGGCTACATCAACTGCTAAAGAGATGAAACACAAACACTCCAGCCAAATATTTCACCACAGCGTAATGGGGGGAAATGTGTATTTTCCTGGTTTTGGCTGCAACGATGATAAATGGATTGCGCTTTGGAAGCTACGTGTTTAATTAATAAAAATGAACCTCACCTAGGCTAATACACAGTGATTTGTTATTAGGACAAAAAACCCCACTAATATAGCCTAGCTAATATGAAATGTATCAGTGAATTATTATTTTTTACATGCAAAGTGGTTAATTTCAGTATGATTTGTTGTTGTTATTGTTTAATACGTCATATTAACTCATTCAACACTGGCTTTTGATGAGGCATTGGCAATTCTTTTATTTTTTAATTTAGCTTACCATGCTATCCACCTTAACAGAAGTCCAAAGAAAAAGAGTGAAGAAGAGTGAGGAACACAACGTTGCTATTCTTGAAAATAAATTTTTACTTGACAAAGCCGTCACTTCAAATTGATAAACAAATTTCAGATCATAGGCTATACAATATATCCTGAAATCATGTAGCCTACGGTAAATCCCATTCTACATTAGATAATATTAAACCAATGGCATCTGACATCAAATTACGCTGATCTAATTTTTCAGAATTCTGTCATCAAATTAACAGTCGAATATGACACAATAACATTTAATAATCAGAACTGCCGAATACTTTTCATATTAATTTGAATCATTTTAACGTTTTGTGAAATGTTTTGCTTGAGAAGGGTTGTTGGTATCTTTCCTCTAAATGGTAAACTATTTCTTTCAATGCGATAAGTGAGTACCGGTATATATGAACAAGAATGCTCATTATAACAATACTTCTTGTTTTTTGGCAAAATTGCAACACATTATGTGTGCAGTCATGTTCACAAAATATTATCATGATCACAGTTGAGAAAACAAACTTTGTTTGGAAATAATAAAAAGCATATGCCTTTGCAGTTTGCTTCACAAGTGACCACACAGGGTCGCTGTGGTCTATTTTATAGCCTAAACCAGACATTCTCTGCCAAAACTGTCTTTCTTGCAACGTTCTTATGGGATGTCATGTCTTCCCTTGTCTGAGATTATCTTTCTATACCACATCCCTTTTCATTAAAGAATTTATAATCATGATTATTTATTATTAATAAAAATAGGCCTACTAGTTATAGTCGTCGTAGTAGTAGGCTAGTAGCCTATATTGTAAAAAAAAAAAAAAAAGAAAGAAAAAGAACAAAACAGAGTTACATGTACAAAACCATTATAGCCATGGCATACACAGGATTTTTATTCATGCGAAAATCTACTTAGGCTACTTTAAATTATACCAAGTAGCTTATAACAACAGCAACATCAATACAATCAAAACAGACAGAGAAAAACAGTTAGGCTTTAGGCTATTATTGTGTAAACACAGAGTAATTTTGACATTTGAAAGATTTTTTTGTGACCATCATATATAGACAAGAACTACCTATTATAGTCAACCAAGAGTTTGTGTTGTAATAAAAAGGGAACAAAAACAGGATTTTTTTTCGATAGTTTTGAATATAGCCTACTTGGAAATTGTGCTTTGGGGTAACATTTATGTAAAGCATTACAACTTTAACTTATTTTGTCACTCTACATACGTACGCCAAGCATGTGACGTCATCACGTCATATACCACGTCATTGACGTCTGGCGGGAGTTATAACTGCACGCACCCATACCTCGAGTATTGCTCTTTTAAAGTATATTTCGTTTAAATATTCATTTTATTTGCGGAAATGATTGGACAGAAAAGTATTAAGTCGTTCTTTTCGCCAGCATCCAAAAAAAGAAATCTTACATGCTCAGGAGATGCAAAAGATGATGTGAGTAAAACACACTTTATTTACTCTGGGCTGTTGCGGCTGGACTTGAAGTCATATGTCGACACATTTCGCTTGAAATATGAATGAAAGTGGTGGTGGTTTATTTATCTGTTGAACATATTGTCATTCACGAGCAAATAGAATTGGCTCTGACTGACACCTCGTTGTTCTTTTCCCCCCTTCCCGCGAAATGTAGTTTACACAATTCCGGAAGTAGTTTTACGTCCTAAAAAATATCTGAAAGATACTTATTATTTAATTCAATAATTGAATTAAATAATAATTGTATGTTTATTAAATTTTTTGTTCCTGTCAATCTGCTGCCCACACTCCAGTCCAGTGGTTGGCGGTATTGCACCTTTATAATACAGAAGAAGAAGTCACGTGGCTATTACTTCAGACAACATGCTGCGAAAATGTTAGTGTAAACAAAACAGCTTACATGTCAATTGCACATATTTTAGTTGCTTATAAATCAAAATCTCACGCATTCTGGTCGTGCCTGTAAACAATGTGGTGGAGCTTTAAGTTAAAGGTTTAACTACTAAATCATTTGAGTCTTGGCATCAAAACTTTGATGCATTTTGAGAAGGCATTCTATGACATAACAAATAGACAATGTTTTCAAGTATAGCTTGTGTTCGTTTTTTTAATGTACAAATGCTCGACCGTGCTACCAAACGATCATGGAATTCAACCAAATACATAAAAATATCGCCTCAGGGGAAAAAGCAAAAGTTGGAGAGCGATGACGTCACGCGCTCATCTTCATCGCTGAGTCCTGAGCAACTTGAACGGATCAACAAAAACAAAAAAGCGGCTCTGGAAAGGCTCTCTGAACACAAAACTGCTCCGGACGGGATTGGAGAGAGTTGGAAGAAAGCTCTCAGTGCAGAATTCGGAAAGAACTACTTTAAATCAGTAAGTAAGACATGAAAAATAATTTTCACTTTAACCCTTGATAAAAGAAGAGTAATATACAGCAGTGCTTCTCTTTCGCAGTTGATGTCTTTTGTTGCTGAGGAGAGGAAAAAACACACCATCTATCCACCTGCACATGAAGTTTTCTCCTGGACACGAACATGTGACGTACAAGATGTGAGTTGAATGTCATGTTCGTACCCAGCAAGCAATAGCCGTCAATAGTTTAACTATAGACCCGATATATAGTCTGGCTATAATAACCTTGAATGTGATATTCCATCATGTAAGCAAAGTAAACCGTGATTACTAGGTGTTTGGTTTAATTTCTTCACTCATTTCATTTCTTTATCTAACTGACTAGTCTATTCTTTGGCTATGGTTTAGATTTCTATTAAATTTTCAATAAAAGCCCAAATTTTGCCTTGTTTTAGCCTAGACGTCTGGGCTGTGTTTGGACGGCTATTAGACGTCTTTCAAACGCAAAATTGTTTGCTGGGTATGTAAGGCAGGTCAAACTAATCAGTTGTTCCTTTGCATTTAAACCCTAGCAATGCTTCAGACAGAAAAAAGATGACAAAATGACACATTTAGGAGGAAAATTCCTTTTTTTTTTTTTGGTTTTGGTTGCCAAATGTTAAAATCACCAGATAAACAATTATGTTCAAAAGCATTTAGCTTCAAAAGCATTTAGCACAGAGAATTTAGCTTCTTTATTTTGCTTTAAAGACTCCATGAAGTCAAAAAAGTTTAGTTGTTTTTCAATATCTATTTGCTTTATAGTCATCCCCTTATAGCACATATATTCGATGATATGCATACATTGCAAAGATCTCTTTGTGATATGCATATTTTCAGATGGAAGTGGTATATTTGCATGTGCTCATCAGCAATGTTTTCCTAAAACATTTCCAGTCAGATGTTAAATAGGCATTGGAAACAGTCTTTAAAGTCGACATGAAATGGTCTTTTCTTTACTATTGTGATGTATATCTGAGTGAAACGGCTTCTCGAGCAAGAAAAAAAATGTAGGATGGGACTTGATTTTGACCATGGGGAATTGTTTGGATGTTTGTGGTTTGCTATTGGTGGATCTCATGTGAGTGACAGGTTGCCCCGCCCTCGCGCCAGTAAACGCATCAGAGAATAAATGTGCTGCAAGATGGAGGGGAAGATATTTAGATTAAAGATTACAATGGCGCATTAATAATAATAATAAAAAGATATGCACTGATGAATAATTTATATAAACTTCTATGGTGGTGAATGGAAACTATAAGACATTAAAAGGGTCCAAAGGGGTTGCTTGAAATGGCATCATGCAGAACTAAGAACAAAACACTGTGTCTGGCACCTTATAATAATATTTTTTTTCTTGTGATTCTAGGTAAAGGTTGTGATCCTTGGCCAGGACCCTTATCATGGGCCGAACCAGGCTCATGGGCTTTGCTTCAGCGTTCAGAGACCTGTGCCACCTCCACCAAGGTATTGTCTTGCAGTCGTCTTTACACTATCCACAATACACATCATTTCAAAGCAGCTTTACGGATTACTATATTGTGACATGTATCCATTAGCAATTGATTTGTTTTGAACCATTTGTTTTTACCCTCATGTGGTCTTCGGGTCATTTTGACCCGGAGAAGAGTTTCTTTTTCCCAAAAATACTAGTTAATGTTATCGCATTGGACTGAAACTTAGTGACTTTGTTCCCAAAGGGTATAACTACTTCTCAAATGTTTTTTGAAAATTCTTACTTTTTTAGGGGGGGGGTTTGTTACCTTGTTACACTTGTGGTCTTCCCGGGTCAAAATGACCGGCCTTTAAAAAATAGCTTATAAATCACTCATTATACCATATTTTCACCAAATCTTGGATTCAATCTTTTTGTCAACTTGTTCTCTTTCAATTAGGACTGTTTTTGTATTTCCATTTGCATCTAATTAATCGTGGGCCTCATTTATCTGAGAGTAGGCATCTCATTTTTTGAGTAAAAAAACCTTTATTTTTGAATAATTTTGGATTATTTTATTTATTTTATTTTTAGAAAATTGGTACTGTTGATCACACTAGTCTACTTTAATGTTTCACCAGGAAGTTTGTTTTGGAAAAACTTTTATTTTGTAAAAAATGGTACATAGGCACACTTGTGGTATTCCCGGGTCAAAATGACCGGCCTATAAAAAATAGCTTATAAATCACTCATTATACGATATTCTCACCCAATCTTGGATTCAATCTTTTTGTCAACTTGTTCTCTTTCAATTAGGACTGGTTTTGTATTTAATTTTCAAACGGTTTAATTGTAGGAGTCACGTGACAAGGCTTTGTCATAACTGTTTCAAAACATTTTAATGGTTTACAGCTAGGGGGCAATTCCCGTGAACTAAGGGTGCTCCGATTGATCGGTCGCCGATCATAATCGGCCGATAATTGCTTTGGGATGTGTGATCGGCGGTCTCTATAAAGGCCGATCCAGAAAAGCCGATCAGATGACGCAAAACTCGCGAGACAATTTTTTACGCACTGGTAAAAATAGCTTCACCGGTCTAGCAATTCTATTCTACAACAGGGCTCTCAAGTGTCAAGCATTGAGCGTGACAGTCACTCATTTCGGTCTTTTGTCACGCTCTCCCGCCACACATTGTATTTCTCACGCTGAAAAACTATTTGTAATATATTTAATATGCCGCAGCGGCCAAAACTCTGGCCGCGCCGCTCTCACTGTGGAACCGGCATGAATCAAGCGCGTTTCCTCTGGTGTTGTTCGTCGAGCTACACAATAGCCAATCAGAAAATAGCACTATTGTATCTGGGTAAGATTTAACGCAACAACCAATGACAAAAATGTATCCAACCCCCGTGCGTCCGTCAAATCACTCGTACATATTTTCTCTCATCAAAACTGAATATGTTCATCAGCGGTTACAGTTATATCAAGCAAGGATACGTTTGTGTTTTATTTTGTGATTACACCGGAATGAATAAGAGTCCGCAACGGCGATAGATTGAAGCGCGCGTCCGAGTGAAGACTGCGCGAGACACAGAGCACTGTATCCATGCAACTGATCGCCGCGGCAATGAGCGCGCAGCTTGAGTTCAAAAACACATTTTAGCGCTAGATTTCTTATTTAATAGTGAACAAAATGAATAATCTGCTAGTTAACTGAAGATGTTTTATTTATTTATATTAGGTACATGGTGGGACAGACTTCACTGGATCTAAAAAAAAAATCAATCTAAACATAGATATGACCAGTAGCGGTGGCTTTCTTAATCTGTTTAAAATAATTTTGCAAGGTTTCTTCACACACACACACACACACACACACACACACACACACACACACACACACACACACAAAGGTTTGTCTACCTCTCTCTTCCTCTCTAAATGCCCACAAAATCTGAGTTGGCAAAGTTATAGATACAGATATGGAAGTTGTTATTTTTTTTTTTTTTGTTGTTGTTGTTGTTGTTGTTGTTGTTGTTGCTGTGCACTTTACTACCTGTGGTCCTTTAAGTGTATTAGAAAAACTGATGGCTGACCGACTCTAAACTAAAAACAGCAACAAAAAAAGGCTATAGTAAAAATAATGTTTAAAGTAGTCTAAAGCTAAATTTAAAGACTCAGATGTTCTGTCTTTTATTCATTTTATTTTATATTCTACAGGAAAGTTGTATGTCAAGCCCTAAGCTGATCCCAATAACCAAGCTGCTATGTTAATACATGTTGCTTGCAAATAAATACACAGGTGTCAATTCATTATGCATTGTCTTCTCTTAAATGTAATACTTAATGTACATTGTTGTTAAATATAGTTTAATAAGTAATGCTACATGATAAAAAGAAGTCTTCAAATAGACCCTGTAATCGGTGATCGGTATCGGTATCGGGTGATACAGCTTCCAGTAATCGGCGATCGGTGATCGGCCCCAAAAATCCTGATCGGAGCACCCCTACCGTGAACAACGAACCAGTTTCTAAATGGTTTTACCTGATCTCTATAAATCTGTAGACCTTTTTTATGAAACGGTATAATAAAAATGTAAATTGTAGTTAAAAGTCTCTTATTGGCCTGATTATCTAAGCTCTCCATAAAACAAACAAAACAACCCCTAAAATTGAATTAAATAACACATATTATACAGACACTTTAATATTTAGTGATATTAGATCTGTGTTCCCCAACACTACACATTTTTGAATTATTCTAACCAAAGGGCCTGTTCACACCTGGTCACTTCAAGGGTTTTCTCAGATCAGATCGCTATCCGCTTGTGTAAAGACCCGGTGTAAATGCCCTCTAAACACATTCAAGAAGGATTTAAATCTGATCACTCAAACCACTTCAGGAGGTGATCTGAGACGCATTCCAGACGAAAATGGACAAGTGTAAAAGCATCTGGTTGTTGAAACCACATATGTATATTTTACTCCTCCCAAAATGTTAAAAAATAAATGTGTTAGTGTGCTATAGGCTATATGTCATGTTATAGCCAGATATAACAGCGCTACTGCAACACGCATCGCCGCAGATGAGCAGAGTATCTCTTTAGCAAGCCAACGCAAATAAAACAAAGTCGCAGACGTTCAACACACAATCATCTTCATTACAAGTAAAGAAACTAAATGATCATACCAGTGCTGTTGCTGCTCTCTCCTATTGCGGTCTTTGATTTTGAATTTAGCTGATGATCAATAAAATGCTGCTCATATCTGTTGTTTTCGTTGATGTGAACTCCGTTAAATCTGCATATAGCGCTGGATTTAAAGATCGGATTTATGTCCGTTTTGGGGAGACATATTTATGTGGCCAAGTGGAAATGGCCTTCTATTTCAGATAAATGCTGTTCTTTTGAAATTCTATTCTATTAATCAAATCGTCCTTAGTGTTTTCAACATTGATAATAATAATGAAGGTTTTTTGAGCATCAAATCAGCATATTAGAACGATTTCTGAAGGATCATGTGACACTGAAGACTGGAGTAATGATGCTGAAAATTCAGCTTTGATCACAGGAATAAATTATATTTTAAAATATATTTAAATTGTCATAATATTTAACAATATTACACATTTTTTTTGTATTTTTTAATCAAATAAATGCAGCCTTGGTGAGCATAAGAGACTTTTAAATGGCAGTGTATGTTACTGTTCAGCTTCAATACTCGGCAAGTAATTCATAGGCCGCTCTGCCATACATTCACATTTCAAGGTCACAACTATGTCATTACTTCAGGTTGGATGATTCTGATTGGCTAAGAAATAGAGAAATATAGAAATCTTCCACACATGGGCTGATATATGCAGGAGCATTTCTCAATTTATAATAAGGCTGACACCTGGACCCTAGTTTGAGTCACGTTGTGACCTTCCAGGTCGCAGAACTGCGTTTCTAAAGTCAGTCTATTTCCCCAGGGTACCAGATGTTTACCTCCCCAATACAGGACCTGTAATAAAGAATACTAGCGCACACACACACCGATACACAGCTTATTCAAGGTTGGAGTTGGTCGAGCTCTTGCTCTAAATGGGAAACTTTCCCAAAACATCCTGATAGCATGTTCTTTCTCTCAGTAAGAGCTACAGACAGTATTTATCATTATTCTCTAGAGATTGAAGAGAAAAAGTAAAACAAATGCTTTAACATACGCATGAAGTAATTCAAATCAGGATAAATATTGATTATAAATCACTCATTAGATATACATTGATGCAGCAGTGGATTCCGGAATCGGACACTTCATAAGCGTCTTTGAATTTCATTCCTGATTTTCAGATGAGGTAGTAAATCCACCTGGATCAATATGGGCTTGATGCCCTTGAGATAAGAACCTCATGGTTAAGAAAGGCAATCAAAAGATAATTAAACATAATTCTCAGGTTCTTAACTGTAAAAGGCAATTTAACGAGACACTGCGAAATTATATTCTGACAGCTTATGTTTAATTTCAACCTCTGTTATTTTTAATGACGTTGAACGGATAAGCTAGCCTGACTACTTCAGACTTCGTACTTCCGCTCAATTTCATTTCGCTTCTGTACTTAGTCTGAGACATCGACATGTCTCTCAGTTTTCCTCCGGCCTGAAAACAGCCGGCCAATCAACGAACAGAGGGCGGGCTGAGAGCCGTGACGTAGACACTAGGCACCGAGTTTAAGATTGGGGAAATCGAAAACAACTGCGGATATGGAGACACGGGATGCAATTCGCTCTGTTGTGGAGAATTTTCCTGGCACTTTCAAACTGAAGCCCGAACAAGAAGAGTGTTTGTTAAACATTTTGAATAGAGGTGATGTTGTGGTTGAAAAGTTTCGTCAGCGAGAAACTGGGCAGGCCAAAGGCCGGCAAGGCGATAGTTGTGATTGTGTCCCCCTTGGTTGCACTCATGTACCCCTTTTCCACCAACGCATTTTGAGAGCCGGTTCGGAGCCGGTGCCTGCGCGCGAACCGGTTCTTTGTGTTTCGACAGCCAAAGAACCGGTTCTCGGCCAGGAAAACTGGTTCCAAAGCGGCACCAACTCTTTGCTGGACTAGAACCGTTCTTTTACCACGTCATGCTTACGTCGGGGGCTGGGGGCGGGTTTAGATAACATATTTTCTGACATAATATAGGATCGCAAAGCCAGGAGAAACATTTGCAGAAACATGATGTAGTCCGCCATTGTAATTGTTATGCTTGAAGTTGGCGCAAGTGTTTTTAGTTTTTTTTATCAATTTTTTTTTATTGAAAACGTTATGTAAACAAAGGAGAATACAGTCAGTACTATAGAACAAATAAATGGAAAGAAAAAAAATACACAAGACAGGAGTACATAACTAATCAGAAAAGATTACATATCAAAGGAAAAGATTAAAAGACTTATATATTTCAATTGTTTTTAAAGCCTTCTTGGTTCACGAGTTAGAGATAATCCCAAAGTAATGTTGTACTTGCAAGCGTTTCTAGCTAAGATGTATGGCGACGTACACAGTGATGTAACGACGTCGTTCGCTGGGCGCTCTAGTCAGTGGAAAAACAACAGGTTCTGAGAAGTTTCGCAAGTTGAACCAACTCCGAACCAACTTTGAACCAGCACCAGTTCCGAACCAGTTCGTTTTTGGTGGAAAAGGGGTAATGGAGGATCAGGTTCAGGAGGCTGCAAAACTCGGTCAGCCATGTTCACTCCGGTATTTCGCTCAATGGTTTCGTTTTCGCATCATACATGCGTTTACAGTGGAAGTTCGATGCGGCTGAGCTGGCGAATAACACACGTCATAACCAAACGTTATGTGATTGGCTTATGGGTAACTAATGATTTTATACTTCAGACAAGCGCCTCCCCACGAGAAAGAAAACTCTTTTCAATGATGACATGCCAGACTCTGTCTATGAAGCAAAGCGAAGTAGCAGAGCTTGGTATTACCAGGCTACAGATAAGCACAAGGATGTTACAAATTATTATAAGGGCTTTATGATTCTTTGTTTGGGTGCAATTATTTTATGTCACTTTTGCTGTCCACAGCTTGGTGAACATATTCAAAGAACTGGCTTCAGACATCGAAGGCTTTGAGCAACCCGGTCATGGAGATCTTACTGGATGGGCAACCCAAGGTGTGCTTCCCCTGCTTTCTGCTTTTCATGGCATACACTTTAATGGTTCATTACAGAACCGATGACACTGCAAGACATGTCAAGAGTAGGGCTGCACGATATTGGAAAGCACTGACATTCCGATATTTAGTTTTTCTGCTATTTATATTGCAATATGAAAATTATTTCACCAGATGATTTAAATAGCTCTATTTGTACAGAATCATTCTACAATGATTGAAGTGATTTTTCTCGGAGAGTGCATCTGAAATTGTATTTATTATTAGAATAATAAACAAATTACAGGCATTGATAAATACAACAGAACAAAGATACAAATGAAATAAGCAGTGCTTTTTGTTTTTCAGCTAAATTTAACTGTATTCAGGTACAGACATTGAAACGAACGAACTTAAAATAACACTGCAGAGTCTTCAATGTATAAATTAAATATAATTAATACAATTTATCTTTGTTAAAGCTACAAACTTGATTTTCTCTTTCTCTTTTGTTTGTTGATCAACATTGATTTGATTAACACACAAAAAGCTGTGGGTATATTAGGCTGCTGTCACTTTCCGATGAATGCACGGACCCAATATAATCATGATATGCATCCGTTTTCTTGTTTACAACACATAACAAGAACAGCTATGAAAGTTTTGTGAATGTGATTAAAAAATGCTGGTGCTGGCTGGCAACTTTTTTTAGTAAACTCTGGCGGGGAAAGAGTTAAGACAGTCTTAACATAGAAGCTATGCTTATGCAACTGGCCCCACTGGCTCGAGGTCCTTTCCTGATCCTGCTGTCCTTCTCTTCTCCCTTTCCTTCCTGTCTTCTCTCACTGAAAATATAAGAAAAAGGATATATAAAAGAAATGTTATCAGAGAGATAAGCATTGGACCAGTGCATGATGCAAACAAATCAAATCAAATGTAGAACTGGAACCATTGTTTATGAAGAAAATAAAAAAGAAAACACTTGTTTAAACCACTAATATTTGTAATTGCACATTAATTTGGCTTTTTCTATATTAACTCAATCTTCTGAATCAGTAATTGCAAAAATCCTTTCTCCCATCTGACCTATTATTCCCTTTTTCACTAGAACAGGTTTTTTATGCTTGAATGTTAAAAAAACCTAATTATTTTTCACATATTTTACATTGTTGCAGCACCTCTTTTCCCAGTCTGTCAGTAACTCTCAGGGCTGCGTTTCTCAAAAGCATCGTAAGCTTAAGTTAATCGTAGAACCATTGGCAGCTTCGAAACGCAACGCAGCCCTGTTTAGTTCCTGTCTCTATGAAGCCCCTCCTTCTGAAAAGGACAATATATGCTCTGATTGGTCGGCTGGATCCGTGTGTTGTGATTGGTCAACCGCTTCGAGCGTGTTTCGGAAATGTCACGCCTCTTACCATAACCTCAAGTTTCAAAACACTACTAAAGCAACTCAACCCCTTTTATTTAGCATATGTCTTGTGCAGGAATTATTAAAATGAGGAATATTGTGACGTGTTTGTTCCCAGAAGAAAACTCAAGACTACAACTGAGGCATTTCAGGGAGTTCAGAAACAGTGACACTGATATAGAGAGAATAACTCCCGCTGGAGTGACTTTGTAACTTTGCAGACCTTTTTCATCCTCAAACAGAAATATTACACACTAAAGAAAGTTGAAAAAGTAAAAAAAAAAAAAAAGCAGAAAGGGACCCCTTTAATTTATGCTAATTCCAAAGTCATGTTTACTGTGATTATATTGCATATAAATATATAGCCATATAAGCTAATTTCCTTGTGCATGTAAATGTGTTTAATGACCTCCTCTTTATAAATGTCTGTTGTAGGAGTTCTGCTGCTGAATGCTGTGCTGACTGTGCGCGCGCACCAGGCCAACTCTCACAAAGACAAGGGCTGGGAGATCTTCACAGATGCTGTGGTACACTGGCTCAGCACTAACATGCAGGGTCTTGTTTTCATTCTCTGGGGCTCATATGCTCAAAAGAAAGGGGCTGCGATTAACAAGGTATGTTGGGAACCTAGAACTTGATGTGTGTAATTCTTTCAGTTCGTAACTGAACAACCAGAAAATATATGCCAGTAGATCTGATAAATATTCCAAACAGTTGTACATTGTTTTCTGATTGTTGACTTGTAGAATCGACACCATGTTCTGCAAGCCGTCCATCCCTCGCCACTGTCTGCTCACCGTGGCTTCTTTGGATGTAAACATTTCTCAAAGACCAATGAACTGCTGAAGAAGTCAGGAAAGAAGTCCATAGACTGGAACGCTTTGTGAAGGTTTCCCTGTATGGCCGATTCAGTCGTGTAAGTCAGTGGAATACTTTTTGTCCGGTTTTAAAAGTAACCTTTTTTTTTTCATTTCCTGCTAAAATCAGTGTGTTGGTTCTGAATATTTGTTCCTTTTTAAGTAATTTTTTTCCCTTCTCGAAGAGTATGTATATAGTTTATTTTAATTACTTTATTGCTGTTCATTTTCATCTACTTTTCTGCATTTATCCCTTTTATGTAGTCATGTAAAACACTAACAATGGTGAATGTTTTCGTTTATGCCTGTTAATACAATAAACTATTTTTCTACTGAATGTTATGTGCACTTGCTTTGTCAATCTAAATCTGTGTGTTTTAAGTAGGATAGACTATAGACTATATACAAGTGTTTCAAAGCCAGATTAGATGTAATATCGCAAAATTCAGCGAAGACCGGTTTCACAGACCGGCTTAGATTGAGCCAGGATTAGTTCAATTAGGGAATTTAAGTAGCTTTTATAAATGTGGCTGGGGGGGGGGGGCAAATACCCATACTTTTTCATGTAATTTACATTCAGAGCATTTTGAAAAAATATATTTTATTCACATGTTATTAGTTGTGGACATTGGACACCACCAGGACTCAATTGTTTAAAAAATATTTAGCCCTTTAATTAGCATATGTCTTGTGCAGGAATTATTAAAATGAGGAATATTGTGACGTGTTTGTTCCCTGAAGAAAACCAATGGGTTTTGTTTTTTCATTCACCAGTCAATTTTTAGGATAAAAAAAAAAAAAAAAAACTTTGTGTAAAGGTGATTCTCATAACTATGTTCTAAAGAGATATAACGGAAAGAATTGATATACCATTTTACTTCATGCATCATGTGGGTAAAATGGCTATAAATGGGTTTTCCCATTCAATACACTATCTAATTAGCATATTAATGTGTTCTTGGGGCAACATGTAATAATGGGAGTAATAATTGGCAACGTTTTAATAATAATATAATATTTCATTGGAATATTGATATATAATTTCTTTGTTGATCTATGACAAACAATTAGAAAATTAGTCATATTTAAATGATAATTACAAAATATTATCAACTAAATTAATGTCAGTCATTTTTAAAGACCAAGGAGAATTTGTAGTCATGGTGAAACCTCCAAACATTTGGTATCTCTGAGTCCCAGGACCAGTGTTGAACAAAGTTACTTTTAAAAGTAATGAATTACAATACTGCGTTACTCCCTAAAAAGTAACTAATTGTGCTTCTTAGTTAGTTTTTATGGAAAGTAATGCTTTACATTACTTTTGCGTTACTTTTTCTCACCTGGGCTCGGCTTGTTTGTTTTTAATAATAATAAATAAAAACACACCTTTCAGCAATAAATAAATGAAACACAAATAGATGTTTATCTAAAAGTCATTTTTGCTTATTTGTATGGTTGAACTGGATCATCAAAAGTCAGCAGGAAATACATTGGTTAATAAAGTGAGATTAAATACATAAAGTATATTTGTGTTATTGAACATATTTAATTATAGCAGGTTTGTGTAATACTCAAGAGTTCAGCCGGCCCTGAATGTGTATATGTGAATAAAAGCCTAAAAATTCAATTTGTTCATCATATAAAGCGATCGAGTCTAAAGAAAATTTGGACTAAAGCTCAATTCAAATGGATTAGTTTTAAAATCCCTTTATGAACTTTTTGAAGTGTCAAAGTGGTAGTTGCGTAGCTGTCAATGGAGGGACAGAAAACGAATCGGTTACCTAACGTAACCTCGGTTCTCTCTAGAAGAGGGAACGAGTATTGCGTAAGCTAGCTTACGCTGCGGGAAAGATTCATCTTTGCTGAGATATTGAAGCCAAAAAATTATTTCATAATTTGTATCCATTGACAACGCAGTTCCTCTGCGGCAGACCTAGAGCAGGCTAGCTAGCAGCTCATTGGTTCGCTCAGAGAGAACTGCTTAAGCCTATGGGAGAGCGGGGCTGAACCCGCTTCCAATGAGAGGCGCCCGCGCGCTCATTGCGTCATGGTCCGCCAGAATGGGCGTGGCTATGGTGTATACAACAGTCTCTCCCAGGCTTATATGTTGATTTATTTCAGCGTGAAGCGAAACGCTAGTAGCGCAAGCACGGCCGGGAACGCAATACTCGTTCCCTCTTCTAGAGAGAACCGAGGTTACGTTAGGTAACCGATTCGTTCTCTTACGAGAGGTTCTCTCGTATTGCGTAAGCTAGCTTACGCTGCGGGAACACCTGGTCAACGCCGTGCGCGCTATGAATCCACTCATGAATCCCAGGGTGATACCGGGGGATTTTTAACGTGGAGTGAATGTATTATGAGGCCGGCAGAGCGGGCACATGAAGTGTATACATAAGCAGATGATGAAGTGTATAAGCATTTAAGGAGAGCACAAGGGGCGAACCGGTTGTGTGAGGGACTCCCAGTAATGCAGCTTCTTAGGGAGCTGGTCGTTAGACAGCTAGTAATTTTGCCTGCAAGGCGGGAAGTTCCAAGTTGTAAAATCGGACAAAAGTGGACGGGGAGGCCCATCCCGCGGCCACACAAATGTCATGAATGGAAATTCCACAGGACCATGCCCACGATGAGGCCATGCCTCTAGTGGAGTGCGCCCTGATGCCCAGAGGGCAGGGCAGGCATTTAGATGCGTAAGCAGAGGCGATAGCGTCTACTATCCATCTAGACAGTGTCTGTTTAGAGGCGGCCAGACCTTTGGTGCGCCCCCCAAACGACACGAAAAGCTGCTCAGCGCGTCTGAACGCGGCAGCGCGCGTAGTGTACAATCTCAGAGCCCGCACCGGGCAGAGGAGATTGGCGTCGCGCTCACTATCGGATGAAGGCAGAGCCGAAAGGGGAAAAAATCTGAGCCCTGAACGGGGTACCAATCGCCTTCGGGACATAGCCATGTCTAGGTTTGAGAATGACAACAGAGTCATTCGGTCCAAACTCGAGACAGGCGGCGCTGGATGAGAGCGCGTGAAGATCCCCCACGCGTTTTACTGAGGACAGAGCCGTCAGAAAAACGGTTTTGAGCGAGAGGTATTTTAGGTCCACAGACTCGAGCGGTTCGAACGGGGGTGCTTTCATAGCTTCGAGAACTATAGAAAGATCCCAGATAGGAACCGAGGGGGGGCGCGGAGGGTTCATCCTCTTAGCTCCCCTGAGGAAGCGGATGACTAACTCGTCTTTGCCCAGGGACTGAGCGCGTCGGGGTTCAGAGAACGCCGCGACTGCTGCCACGTAAACCTTGAGAGTGGAGGGGGACCTGCCCTTGTCCAGCATCTCTTGAAGGAAAACAAGCAAAGACGGCACCTCGCATGACCGTGGGTCCAGATGTTTGTCGGTGCACCATTTTGAGAACACAGACCATTTAGACGCATAGAGCCTTCTCGTGGAAGGTGCTCTAGCCTGTATGATAGTGTTTCTTACTCCTTCTGGCAAATCGACGAATAGTCGTTGATCACCCATGCATGTAGCGCCCAGCGCCGTGGATGGGGGTGCCAGATCGTGCCGCGAACTTGAGAGAGGAGATCTGCTCTGACTGGGATGGGCCACGGGGCTGTCTGTGACAGCTGAGTGAGCTCCGGAACCCAATTCTGACTCTCCCAACGCGGGGCTATGAGGAGCACCGAGTGGCGTGTGTCCCTGATCCTCTGAATTACCTGTGGTAGCAGAGCGATCGGAGGGAATGCATAGAGCGGGCGGCGAGGCCATTCCTGGGCTAGCGCGTCCTCGCTCCTTAAAAAAAATATTGGGCAGTGAGCGTTCTCTTCTGACGCGAAGAGGTCCACCTCTGCTCTGCCGAATAGCCGCCACAGTATTTGGACCGTTTGTGTGTTCAGGGACCATTCTCCTGAGGAGATGAGGTTCCTGGACAGTATGTCTGGACCGTCGTTCAGATGGCCCGGCACATGCGTCGCTCTGAGCGAGAGCAGGCGGCTCTGAGACCAAACTAAAATGCGGTGTGTCAGTAGGAAGAGATTCCTGGACCTGACACCGCCCTGAGGGTTGAGATAGGAGACCACAGCCATGTTGTCCGAACGGATCAGGACGTGGTGTCCCCGAATGAGCGGGAGGAAGCGCGAAAGCGCGTTCTCGACCGCAAGCATTTCCAGACAGTTTATGTGTAAGGGGCTTTCCTGTGTCGACCAATGGCCGAAGGCCGTTGAGCCCTCGCAGACTGCACCCCAACCCGTGTTGGATGCATCTGTCGAGATGACCTTTCGGCGGGAAAAGGTCCCCATCGTGACGCCCTGTCGAAACCATTCTGCTACTGTCCATGGCTGCAGCACCGTGAGACATGTCTGCGTAACTCTGATCAGCTGGCGGCCCGTGTTCCACGCGCGGTGGGGTACACGGCTGTTTAACCAAAGCTGAAGCGGACGCATGTGCAGAAGGCCCAGCTGAAGCACAGCGGAGGCTGAGGCCATGTAACCCAGCATCCTCTGAAAAGTTTTCAGAGGTGAGCGGGTGCCCATCTGAAACGAGGCGGCCAGTCGCTGTACACTGCGCGCGCGCTGTGTGGACAGGCGAGCCGTCATCGTGACCGAGTTCAAATCTATTCCTAGAAAGGAAATCGATTGACTGGGTTGAAGGGAGCTCTTTGTCCAGTTGACAGAGAGGCCCAGCGTTTTCAGATGGTCGAGGAGAACTGCGCGGTGCGACAGAAGCTCCGTCTGTGATTGGGCCCAAATCAGCCAGTCGTCCAGATAATTCAATATGCGCAGCCCCTGGCTCCGCAGGGGGGCGAGCGCCGTATCCATGCACTTCGTAAATGTGCGGGGCGCCAGGGATAAGCCGAACGGGAGAACGGCGTATTGATAAACATGACCCTCGAAGGCGAAACGTAAGAATGGCCTGTGACGGGGATTTATCTGGATCTGAAAATAGGCGTCTTTCAGGTCTAGAGAGATGAACCAGTCCCCCTGGCGCACCTGCGCGAGGAGTTTCCTGGTAGTGAGCATCTTGAACGGTCTCTTCATGAGCACTTTGTTCAAAGACCTGAGATCTAAAATCGGTCTGAGGCCGCCGTCTTTCTTGGGAACCAGAAAATAACGGCCGTAAAACCCCGACTCGGTCATAGATGGTGGGACTCTCTCTATGGCGCCCTTTTGCAACAGCGTCGCAATTTCTGAGCGGAGCGTGCCGGCGGCCAGCGGGCTGACAGTAGATTCGAGCCGCGCGCGCGCACGAGGCGGGCGGCGGCGAAACTGTAGCAGATAGCCGTTCTTTATAATGCTTAGTACCCACGGGGAAATGCCTGGAATGGCTTCCCACGCTTTGGAGCATGCGGCTAGTGGCCGAATGGCTATATCGCCCTGATTGCTGCACATAGCGGGCTGGACACGGTGTGTGGGCGCGCTTTGAATGTGTGTGGCAACGGGATTTGCACTCAGAGAGGAGTCTATGGGCCGTGAAACAGAGCGAGCAGAGAGGGGACACGCGCACGAGCTCGTGGGCGTGTTTATGTTCTCTGATATTAGAGCGGGCTGTGCCCGTTTCATGTGATGGGGCTCTGATAGAGACACGGGATATGTTATGCTTGTGTGTATGGGTGAGCACATGATTGTGGGCACATTTTCTACACAACTGGCAAATTTTCTCTTTTTGAGATTTCTCTGGGTAGCCGTAAAAACGGCTTTTTGTCGCTCGCAAGCGGGCTGGGACACCGGCTTGTTTGTGGCGGTCAACACTACAGCAGTCGGCGAAATAACGGGGACTGGCAGAGGGCGAAGCTTTGACGGCGGTCCGGCCGCAGCGGGAGAGCACCGTCGTTTTCTTGACTTTGCTAGGCAGACTTCTGATGATCAGGCTTCAGCGTGATCTTAGGTCGCAGGCCTCGTGGGGGCGGCGGTCTGCGGCGGTCTGCGGCGGCTGTCAGAGCGAGAGCGAGGGCGGCCGCCCTGTCTGCGCTGGGCTGTTTGAGTCTGCGGAGGGGGGCGCTGTGGTGGAGCTCTGGCAGGAGACTCGCGAGAGCGGCCCGCGGAAGAGCTAGCGCGGCGGGGCAGAAACAAATTCATCGCCTGAGTAGCTTTCTGGACCTCAGAAAAGCGATCGACGATTCCCGTGACAGCAGATCAGAAAAGGCCCGTCGGGGAGAGGGGCGCGTTGAGAAACGCGGCGCGCTCAGAATCTCCCATGTCGGCGAGCGTGAGCCATAAGTGTCTCTCAGCAACACAAAGGCTGGCCATGCATCTCCCCAGAGCTTGTGCGGCGGCTTTAGTGGCGCGAAGGGCGAGGTCCGTAGCACTTCTCAGATCCGTGACAGCGGGGGAGGGGTTTCTACCGCCTTCGGCCCACTCACGGAGAATATCGCTCTGTAATACTTGGAGGACAGACATAGAATGCAGCGCTGCGGCGGCCTGACCGGCGGCGGCGTAGGCGCGAGCATGAAAGCTCGAGGTCGCTCTGCAAGCTTTCGAAGGAAGCGTGGGGGAAGAGCGCCATCTAGCAGAGGGCGGGCAGAGGTGTGCGGCGACCAAGTCCTCGACGGGCGGCATGGCTGAGTAACCTTTTTCGGCGGCTCCGTCCACCGAGCGCAGCGAGGCGGATATATCAGAGCGGTTTCTAGCCGAGAGCGGGGCATTCCAGGACTTCGTCAGCTCAGCGTGAAGTTCAGGCAGGAATGGGGCGGCCCGGTTGCACGCGGGGGTCGAGCGCCGATGAAAAAAGCTGCCGTCCATCCGGTTCGGGGCCTGCTCGGGTGGAGGAGACCACTCGAGACCGAGGCGTTCGACGGCCTGTGAGAGGAGGCGCATTAGTTCCTCCTCTATCCCGGCGCGGATCCCCGCCGACTCTCTCGTGGAACCGAGAGATGACCATTCTTCACTGTCTGATGCGAGCAGTGAACAGGAGTCCTTCTCCTCCGCGGCGTCATCGGAAGCGACAGAGCGGCCACTCGGCGGCAACTGTATGTCCGGCAGGGGCAGGGAGGGAGAGCGGGAAGCGGGAGGCGGCGGCCCGCATGGTTCCGCTGGGGGCTCCGGCGGCCTCTGGGAGCGGCGTTTCTTCTTACGCGGCGAAGAGGGAGGCGGCGCGGGAGCGGATTTTGCTGCCAGAAGTCGTGCCCGCAGGGACGACAACGGCAGGCTCTCACAGAAGTCGCATCCTCCATCCGCGAGGGCGAGTTCTGCGTGCTCGAGTCCCAGGCAGAGAGCGCAGATGACATGGCGGTCTCCGTCCTCGAGACGAGCGCGGCAAGAGCCGCAGGAAAAACGAGACATCTTTAAAAAGACGCTCGGCTCTTTTAGATATAAATAGAGAAAAGAGAAGGATACAGTCGTCGGATGGCGCTAGCTTGCAGGGCGGCTGAAGGTGGCGAAGACGGCCGGCTTCTTCAGGGTCCGGGAGCTCGCTAGAGTGATGCCTTCTCGACGGCGACGGCTTTTCTCAGGACAGCAGAAGCGTGCAGCTTGCTGAAGATGAAATGAATCAACATATAAGCCTGGGAGAGACTGTTATATACACCATAGCCACGCCCATTCTGGCGGGCCATGACGCAATGAGCGCGCGGGCGCCTCTCATTGGAAGCGGGTTCAGCCCCGCTCTCCCATAGGCTTAAGCAGTTCTCTCTGAGCGAACCAATGAGCTGCTAGCTAGCCTGCTCTAGGTCTGCCGCAGAGGAACTGCGTTGTCAATGGATACAAATTATGAAATAATTTTTTGGCTTCAATATCTCAGCAAAGATGAATCTTTCCCGCAGCGTAAGGTAGCTTACGCAATACGAGAGAACCTCTCGTAAGAGAACTCAGATTTCATCAAAAAGATCTTCATTTGTGCTCTGAAAATGAGCGAAAGTCTTGCGGGTTTGAAACGACATGAGGGTGATTATCAATGACAGAATTGTAATTTTTGGGTGAACTATCGCTTTAAAGCGTGTCTATGAAACCGAGGGAATATGTTTTGACCAGATTTTGACTGACTTGCACAGTTGCAGCCCGCATTGTGTTTCCCAGCGTTAGTGGGTGTGCTTTCTAGTCAACCAATCGCAACGCAACGACGACCGTCTAGAGTTCAGTTCACCACCGAATCCCTTCAAGTTACAAGTGATAGCATGCATGCTAATATGCTAATATTGAGGGCGAGCGGCAAAGTTTGGGCATCTAAATAGATTCTACAACTATATAAAGCAATACAGTAGCAATGGACGAAAACCGTGGCATAATGTGAAGTATCGCCAGTGCAACAATTCTAGCAAAAGTCTTTTAATATGGCAACTCGAGATACACGGCAATACCGGAGGGCTCCCAAGCAAGAGCAGGACGACGACTCTGACGCAGAGGAATCGACTATTTCGTTAAAGAAACCTGATGCACGCGAGTCACAGATCATCCATAGTGGTCATTTTATGGTGTCTTCTCCTCATACCGATCACCCCCCAAAGAAAGGTTACGATTTCGACACTGTGAATAAACAAACCTGCCAGACGTATCATTTCGGGAAGACTAGCACGTCGCATCTCTCTATTGATGCCTCCCTGACGAAGCTCTTCGAGTGCATGACCCTTGCATACAGGTGGGTTTATTAGTGAACAAAAGAGCGATTTACTACCTGTTTGTGCGAAGACTTTAGTAGGGCCACATTAAATGTTATTCCATTATTCCTGTGAATATGTTAGCGCACTGCTAGCTGGGCCAAAAACTTGTAGAGAAACTAGTACGGCTTGGCATTTAATTTCCCCGAGGTGTTTGTGTTTTAGCAGGGTGTTTAACAGCCGACAATTCCTAGGTTTTTTGTTTGGCACAAATAAAATTGTATTAGCCTATTAAGGGTTGCTACTTTTAGTTTGGATAAAACTCATCAACACTGACTTTAGGCATGACATATAGACTATAATTCTAAGTGAACCTGTTTACAAAATTAGACGCCACTTTTGTGAGGAAGTGTTGCATATTTCCACCTTCCAATCTTAGCAACCTACTACACACAGATAGTCAAAACTTTAGCATTTTAGTAGTAAATGTGTAGAGCTGTCTATACAAATACAAGACTCATTTTCAGATCTGTTCATTCAGAAATGCACTATAAATTAATATTATAAACATGTTTTTAATTTCTGAATTTAAATTATTTTTGGTGTGTATACACACACACACATATATATATATATACATACACATGCACACACACACACACACACACACATATATATATGCACACACATACTAGCATATATATATATATATATATTAAAAAACATTAAAAATAGTAATATTTCCAAACTTTTGACCGGTACTGTATCTCAAAATTGGACAAAATCCCCTTGTGTGTTCCGATAATGAACAAAGAATTGTACAACAGTAATGTTGAGAGTAAATGATGACAGAATATTTTTTTTAGCTGGCACATAATATGGACACACACACATCTTGCAGAATGTTATTTTATCCGAGGGATCATAAAAATTGCATGTCATTTTTTTAGTTCTTCCCTGTATAAGCTGTTTCACATAACAGACGTTTGCATATAGTACACAAGACAAAATAACAAAAAAGTTGACAAGCGCACAGTAAACGCATTAAAGCACTGTTTTATGATGCTTTCTACTGAAGATTAGAAAGTTTGTGGAAATGTGTTCTTGTTTAGGATTTTCATGTTATGTGGACAATGCCTGTATCTGTTGTGCTATTGAATTTAGTATGATAGCAAAACAGTCTAGTTTTAACAGTCACTTTACAAATCCTCAGAAATGGTTCTGTCCTAAATATCCTTTTTTAGCATTTGTGTTGGTGGTGGTTGTTTTATTACCAAGCATGTTTATCTCAATCCAACAACAAACGCTTGTTTTCATTCAATTTTGCATTCACTGGCATCCGTACAAGTCAAAGGGTCACATTTAAATTGAGATTTCCGTCTTCAAATTAGAATTTCGCAATTCAAACCCACATTTCACAATTTTGTTCCGCCTTGTGGAAATCATATGATCCTGCTATCTTATTCAGATCTTGCTCTTGTGTAGTTTTGTCTGAATTACTTGGCGTGCATATAGTTGCCTGGACCATATCAGGTTTTTTCCCTTGCCTGGTTATATGCTACACTTCCAAAACAAGTGTTACTTATTTACTTTATTGCTCAATCAAGACATTGACTAAACAACTTCACATGGGCAGCATGGAATATATAATTATTATTGTGCTTGTGAATAAATTATGCCTAGAAAGAAGGCAAAACAACCATCATTGTATTTGTGATTTTATTTTTCAATTAGAGTTTCTTTTAAATGTTTTATACAAGTTTGAAACATTTTGCCTGTACAGCCATATTCCAAAGTGATCTGTTGGTTTAAAAAGGAATAATTGACAACAGATCATTTCATTATTTAAAATGACTGCTCCCTTAGGTGGTATTATGACCACAACAATGCAATACGATCCTCTCATGAGTATTATCTTCAACTTTACTCCAGCTGCAAGTGTTTCAGATTAGTCACATTTGAGTTATATGTAAAGGCTATATGATGATAATCAATTGAAAATGGAGAAAAACGCCCCGGTTTTGTTTTATTTAAATATTAGCATAATGGCAATGGCAACATTTTTGGCCTTTTATAAGTCAGACCACAATAGCCAAGTTTCCATCCACTTGTCAATCGAATTATATATGAATTTCGGTAAAAAAAAAAAACCCTCATGCGAATAAAGCTGGTGAAAGTGTGTTTCCATCAAACGGCTTTAAAGCGGATAAAAACCTGTGCGTAATGACGTCACACGCTGTTTTGCGATCAAATTGGTATATCAAATTGATTTGAGACATGTTAAGGTGTTTCCATTCATTTTATCACCGAATTGCACAACATTCAAGCCAACATTTGCGAACAAAGTTTTACTAGGCAAAATGGATCGCACCATAATAACGTTTCCATCCGCGTTTATCGCATAAGCCGGATGTCGATCAAGATAAAATCCGATGAGACCGAACGCATTTCATTTGAGTCGATATTCGTGAAATTCAATCGAATTTTACTGTTTCCATAAGGCATTTTTCATTCAATATCACTTAATGCGGATAAAAACGTGTGGATGGAAACATAGCTAGAGATGCATGAAGAAATATTTTTTATATTTCCATCCACAGTATTGTAGTATGCATGACAGCAACACCAACCAATATAATAATGGTCACACTTTATATAAAGTGGGCGTGGCCTTAATTGTTTGACTCAATTTACTTATGTACATACATTTTGGTGCATTGTAATAATATTTAAAGTACTTGCATTTGATTAACATCTGTTGTTAACTTTACCCCTAACCGTAACCCAACCATTACCAAAACACTAACCCCTATAATCCCAACCCTGCCTTTACTCCTAAACCTAACCATACCTCAAACTCATTAGCGGTAAATATTGGATTTTTTCAGAATATGTAATTACACTGTAAATTCATAGTCTTCTTAGTACATAGTAGTTAAGGCCACCTGATAATAAATATTACTGTACAATTCAGGTTGATAGTTCCAATAAAAGAGGTGTGAATAGTGGAGTAAAGTGGATACAAAAGCAAAATATTTAAAATATTTAGTCTAATTCTATCTCTGACCGTGAAATATCTATAATGTGCATCAAGCTTAGACTGTAAGTGACATGAACAAAAAAGGCAATTAAGTGGTTCATTGCAACTATTTGTGTCACAATTAATCACCTCCCAAAATGTCATGATATGATCTGACAAACACATGTATTCTGTGTCCACAGTGGAAGGTTGGTGTCACCAAAATGGAAGAACTTCAAGGGCCTCAAGCTGCTGTGGAGGGACAAGATTCGCCTCAACAATGCTATTTGGAGAGCCTGGTATATGCAATGTAAGATTAATAATGAAACGCGAATACTGCTTAGAAATGTGAAAACACAGGAGTTTGTTGATTTCTGTCTGCAATGCCTGTCTTTCCTGAAGATGTAGAGAAGAGACAGAACCCTGTTTGCCATTTTGTCACACCTTTGGATGGCAATATGGATTCGGGAGTACATCGACCAACAGAGGTGAGCATGTTTGGAGTGTCATTTGACTGTACAGATATTTTAGACTTGAAGGCCTAAAAAACTGTTATTTGTTAGATCACTTTCTCTTGGTACCATGTTCTTCTGTCCTCCTAGGCAATAGCAACAGAAGGCAAGTACTGGAAAAGGAGAATTGAAATCGTCATCAGGGAATATCATAAATGGAGAACATATTTTAAGAAAAGAGTATGTTTATTTTCCCCTTACATTGATCTAACTTACAGTACTGTGTAACTCGGATGTTATTTATAAATGTCTATATTTACAACATAAATACGGTACACCAATTAATAAGATTTCTTTAATAGCACTCACAAATTGGAGTTTATAGTTACAGAAGCACAAGGATGAAGACCTGTCCAGCCTTCTCAAGGTAATTTCTAGAATGTTCTCCACTATTGTTGATAAAGCTTTGCTTTCAATTCATTTTGCATCTAAGTAAAAAGTGTGTATATGCGTGCAGTGGTTTTCTGTTATTTGTTACACAAACTTTGTTGTTCATTTGTAATTAATTGATCTGCCTGTCTTAACATCACATCAGATTTTAATAGTCCATGCATTTCAGAGTTTTTGCAAAGACTAATTTTCAGTTATGAATCTTGGTTCAAACGGATCAAATACATTTTTGTTGAAATCTATTGAAAGACAGCAGTTCACATTCAATTAGCTGTTTTTATTTATATATATATATATATATATATATATGTAGTTTAGTCCGAAGCCACTTATGGGACACGGTGATGGAAATAAAATATGAGATGGGAGGCAAATTTAAAATTCAATGCTTTTGCGTTCACTCACAAAACTTTTGCATTCTCTTGCAAAAAAGTTTTGCTCCCACGTCATATTATTTCAGTCACAAAAGTTTTGTGAGCAAAGTTAATTTGTGACTCCTTGTTGAGTGTCTTGGATTCTTGCTGTTGGTCCTGGACTAGTCTCAGCCTCAGACGTCACGCCCACGGATCGTTGGCTAAACGTCTGATGCATATGGTACACTTAACTGGAAACACTTCAGGAATGTCGAAGTCGTCATCTGATTGGTTGAATTCTATCGGATTTCCGGGGGGTGCGAGTGTCGCGTTTATTTTCGGTCCGCCGGGAAACAAAGCGCAGACGTGTGATTGCGGAAGAAGAACTGTTGTGTTTACATGAGTGACAATGAGCATTTATCAAGATCAGCTAAACGTAGGATTCTCAAAAGTATGCGAGGTTCACGGCATAGACTCTTGAAGTTTTCTTCTCCTTCTTTGATTTTCTATGCTGACTGACTTGTTGCACGCCGGTGGTCTGTTGTTGTGGGGACATTTCCACGCCCCGAAACGTGACGCTGAACGAAACGATCTGTAATTGGTTGTTTTACATGTCGGTCAAACGGCCTTATGGGCGGGCCTTGGCCAAAGAAAGCTGCTATGAATTCCAGACCTTCAGGCGTCAGTCTGAAGGTCTGGCTACGCGAGACTAGTCCTGGACAAATGTGGTCAAGACTGAAGTTTAGCAGTGGAGCACAGACGTCGTATAGTAGTATTTAGATACATGTAGATGTGAGAAGGTTGGTTAAGTTGGCTGTGTGTTCAGGTCTCAGTGCAAGAACATGAAGGGTTGGCTGGCTTTTGATGACTGGAATGAAGTCGGTTTTATTTTATAGCCAAATGTCAATTCCAAAATCTGTTTAAGCCTGTAGTGATGCATGAAAAAACATTTGCCAATAACTGGATGAACCATTAACATGCAAATGTGTCCTTGAAATATTAACTTAAAATGTCAGGGAGTACTTCAAGTATATAGTTTATGACTACGGCTGACAGAAATATTTTGGGAACCCCCTGGTTTTGATCAAAATGCTTTTAAAGATCACAAGAGACACAAAGTCAGTTGTGTCCTCTAACTTTTGACTGGTAGTGCATGTGCTGCTAATACACACATTCTTGATGCCTGATGCATTTTGCTCTGCATGAACCTCGAGTGTGTCTGTTGACCTGGCCTGCTTGTTGCATTTTGACCTCCCAAAGGGTGCGGAGGAACAGTTTTCGCTCTTTGGGGAAGTGTGGCCAGACACCTACCGTGTCCTCTTCTGCCAGGATGAGGATGTCAGTGCGGGAGGTCGTCGTAGGTCCCGCAAGAGTCGTGATTCACCCGTTCCAATGGAGATGGACTCCCTTTTTGACATGGACGTGCTCATGTCTGAATTCTCAGACACACTCTTTTCCACACTGGCCTCTCATCAACCTGTAGCATGGCCCAATCCAAGGGAGATTGGTGAGAAATAAGTCAAGTCAGCATTGTTTACACATTTATTCTTGAGGAAGATGAACTGACACGCCCCCTCCTGTCTTCTTAGCCCATGCAGGCAATGCAGATATGATCCAGCCAGGCCTCATCCCACTGCAGCCCAACCTGGACTTCATGGACACTTTTGAGCCTCTGCAAGGTGTGAGCGAGAACAATTCCTCTTGTTAACTTGCGGATTAACGATTGACTTGTTGACACAATGGCTAGTTGATGAAGAAATGTTGTTTGTGCAGATTTGGCCTTACATCTACTAGGGCTGGGTATTGACACAAATTTCACATATCGATTTCGATTCATTAGCTAGCAATTCAATTCCAATCTCAATCTCGTTTAGATTTAATTTGGATGTTTATCATGTACAGTTATGTCAATTTTTCTCAATGAATATCTCTCTCAAATAATGTCGTAAACTGCAACAGTGCCTGCCGACTTTTTCAGCATCGTTGGTTCCGGAAGTATTTTTTCCATTCGTTTCTCCCATGGGGATTTCAAAAACACTTCATTAAAGTGTTATAAGTTATGAACCAAGCCAACCATCTACAAGGTGAATTACAACATTGCAAATTTTGATTTGAAGCAAAAAAAAGTTTTGGAAAATCGGATAAAAAAACACAAAGCTACAAGACTGTACTTAACAGCTTTAGCGATGGAAAGAACTACAATCCCATGAAGCATTGCGAACAGAATAATCAAATTAAAAACGATGGAGACATAAAAAACTATTTATTTAAAAATGTTTATTATATATGTAAAAACAATATGTTTTAAGTTTATTGCAAAATATGCTGTATATTCAAATAATTAAGTATTTTGACAGTAGGGAGACCCGACTTGATTACGTCATTCGCTGTGCTTAATGGGAGTGGGCGGAGCTAAAGAGATCTTTTGACACGTATTTCTTGCTTCGACTCTCTGATTGGTGGAATTTTCTGTACAGCGTCATGGTTAATGTAGTTTTTAAGCACGAATATTTTAAAACTAAGTTGAAATAATGTGCGCCGACGGCTTCAACAGAAGCAAATACGGTAACACTTTATTTTAAGGGGAAGTAGTTACACGTTACGACATGTTCGGTAATAACAGTAAATTATGAATAATTGCAAGTAACTAAACCTAACCCTAACAGTAACTCTATAGTAAGTACATGTAGTTATTACATATTACTTATTTGAGTAAGTACAATGTAATTAAGTCACCTTAAAATAAAGTGTAACTGCAAATACTATCGATTGACAACCTCGTAACCCACAGTAAAGTTGTCTTTAAAGGTTTATAAAGAAGGAGAAAAGTTTTTACTTCCGAAACGTGGCTGTTGCTGTCAGTTGGAAAATTACTATAATATCAACTGTTAAAATGAACAACTGATTTGTTTACAGACATTTAAATTCCACATAAGGCAATTTTTATGATACTAACTTTGTTAAAAACATTTGTAATGAGACAATTACTCATCTGCTCCAATTCGTTTTTTGAAATATAAACATAAGTGTCTGTCTAAAAAAAATTACGTATTTAGTCAAAACATAAATTAAATATTGAAGAACAGGTTTAAGTAAAAATATGATTATGTAATATAGTACATATATTTACCAACTACTCCTCTCTAGAGTTAATGTGTCTAGCTAACTATCAAGCTATGGACAATTGGACATTTAATGGCTCTTAAATGTAATGTTACATGACATGTAGTTATAAGCTGTTTTATTGACGTTGAAACACTGGCTGAGCGTTTACATGAGACATGATACATTTCCGTAAGCTGCACTGTATCTTTCAACATACATTCTGATTCATATTTATTTCATGCTATAACTAGTAGCAAAGAGGAAGAGATGATCGGTTTACGTGCCGCTTGAACTGAAGCACTACAGAGATCTGTCACGCCACATTATGCCAAAATGGTATTTATTGTTTGAATTTTGTCATTAAATTGACTTTGTTTCATATTAATAGTAGCAAAGCACAAAGCTTTTTGTAATTAATGTTATTAAATCACGATTCATTTAACTTAAAATTGAGAAATCAATAGTCAACCAAGTCCTAACATCTACTGGCAACTGATTTTGTGACTAAATTTTTAATTTTCGAGTTAATTTTGAATTCATGAATCAATCAAACAGTTTTGTGGAACATTCTTCATCAATTAATTTCCTACAAATTCACTCAATCTGTCAGAGTAGTTGTAAAGGTAACTCACTGGATCAAAAGTCTTTTTTGTGTTCCCAACTAGATTTGTTTCACACCCTGCGTCCGCAAGCCTTCCCCTTCACTTCCCAAACTTCCCCACCAGTCACTCCCTTAACCAGCAGCAGCTCCCAAACACAGGTAACCATCCTCAACATGCAACGCAGATTGGTAGTGCTTTAAGTTCTTCCTGTTTTGTATGCACTTCCTTTCCTCCACAGCAGATGCACAGTTGCTTCATGTGAATTACGAAACTCTACAGTGTCTTTGTAACCCATTAGAATCATTAAAGATTAGTATGCATAACTGAACTGTGTAAATGTGCATACTATGATAAGACACAATGGGTTACAGTTGACAGCAGGGATGGGATTTATGGCTTTAAAATAGCTTATTCATGTACTGTACTAATTTTTTTATTATCCTTCTTATTTTGTTACAATTATTAACATTGCACAGATTCTGCCACAACTGACCAAAACTGTATATTTCTTACTAAAACATTTTATAGGGAGGACTTTTATAATTTTCAGAGATTACACACATGATTTGTTTAAATTGTAGACACTAAACTGAACTGAACTGATATCTGTAACACTGTCATGCTTGGGAAAGAGGCCTTAAAATTAGCATACTGGCACAGTCTTAGAAAGCCATTGTTCAAATAAAAAGTGCATTAAACCCAACACTGATTAAAAAAAAACTGCCCCCATCTACATTTTTGCAAAACTTTAAAAAGGAACCAGTACTGTACATACAATTTTACAGCAGTTTCCAGCTGAAATAGACACTAGTGTCAGTAAAAAACAACTTTTATTCCTTTTCACACAAATTATGATTACAGAGGCAGATTATCGATTGATGACTTATTTTTGTGCTGTTCCTTGCACAATACTATGTTATGAACTCAAAACACTATTTTACTAGCCTGGTTAAAACCAGACCATTCTCAGTTGTAACTGAGTTATGGTCTGGCAAAGCGTCATAGACAAATCATTTCCAGAGGGGCGTCACCAACGGACGTCGCGGATAGACCTAAACCCAATCAGAGCGATGAAGGAGATGACGTATGCAGAGCGGCGGAGAAACATCTCCGAGTGTTGTTCTTTGCTCGGTTTTTAACTAAAAGGAAACGTTCAAATGGCTTAAAACAGACGCGATAGCTGATTCGAACGAGTGATGTTCGACGGCGGCATCCATCTTTGTAATGTAGGCTACAAAATCTGCTTCAAAATCCCAGCGCTGTCGTCATCGTGTAAAGCCCGCCCCAACGTTTCTGATTGGTGCCTCGATTTCGACGGATTGGAAATGGGCTTGAATGAGCTCTTTGCCAGACTAACTTTCAGAGCAAATCTAAATTTGCCAGAAGTTGTCTGGGTTTTCCCAGGCTACTATTTTACTGCAATCTTAAATTGAACTATATATAAACGTACATAAATTAGGATTTATATTTTGCACTAATCAAATGACTAACTAAGTCAAATATTAAAAGTGTTTTACATTGACCAGGTTAGCTCCTAGGTATGAAAGGTCAGCAAGCTCTGGAACACTCTCAGGTCAATCTGAAATAACATGGATTATCTGGTTTTGCACAAACGCATGTCAAAATATTAGATATATGTATCAGGTCTGGCAGTTTGCAGAATGCCGCAAATACCTATGGCTGACTTTGTGTTGTTAATTTTAATTAAAACAACTATAATTACTAAAAATGAAGAAACCACTCACTGCTCTTGTAGCTTTAATGAGTGTTAATGTATTATATCGGTAACACTTTACAATAAGGTCCATTAGTTAACATTAGTTAATGTATTAACTAACATGAACTAACCATGAGCAATACATTTGTTACTGTATTTGTTAATCTTCATTGATGTTAGTTAATAAAAATAAAGCTGTTCATTGTTTGTTCATGTTAGTTCACAGCGCATTAACTAATGTTAACAAGATTTTAATAAAGTATTAGTAAATATTGAAATGAACATTTACAAAGATTAATAAATGCTGTATAAGTGCTGTTCATAATTAGTTCATGCTAACTAATCTAGTTAACTAATGTTAACTAATGAACCTTATTGTAAAGTGTTACCATTATATCTTATACCACATTTGCAAAGTAATAGCAAAAATATTGCAAATATTTACTTGTTTTTCTCAAACTATGATATGAACAAAGCAAAGGCAGAAAAGAGTATGCATTGTGCTGATATTGATACCTGTTGTTTGCTAGAATCCCTTGCTGTCATCCATGCCGCTCTCCTCAGAGCTTCCCTCTCTGCCACTGGACTACCGCCTCATCCCGTCTACTCCACTGCCCAGCCATCTCGCAGTCGCCAACCAGGACAACGGTAATGCTGCTGGCCCGTCCTACCAACAAGCCTACGTGCCTCTTTACACAGAGCAAGTGACCCCCTCCGTCCCATCTCTCCTGCCACCACCAGCTCCACCTCTCCCACCAGGAGGTGTTTCTACAGACACTACAGTCCCTCAGCCCGACACAAACATCCCATCTCCTTCTGTAATAACACACTCCGCCCCTTCCACAGTAACTCCCACTGATGCTGCCACTACCTTCAGTCGCAGGTCCAGCTTTGAGTCTCTACAGCCTGCGGCATCAACCTCTGCCTCCCCAAACTCACAGTCGGTCAACTTCGCCTTGCCCAAATCCGTTCCACCTTCTGTTCCTAGCAAAAAGGCCAGACACCCACAGAGACAGATTGTCCCGGCCAATCCACTGCCATCTCAACTCATACTCACAGGTTCGTGTCTCTCCTCAAAGCAGATTTTTTTAAACATGCTCACTAACACACACAAAACATCTCAAAATGGACTCATGTCCACCAATAACAACACATTTAACATATTCTGTTGTTCAATTACATATTTCTATAAACCATTTAATAAGCAACACATTTTCAGTTTGATATTATTTTTATAACCTCTTGCATAAACTTTAGAAAACAGCAGCTGTGGTTGTAAGAAGTAGAGTCTTAATTTATAGAAAGGAATAATAAATTAGCAAAAAAAGCAGCATTTTTGATCATTTTCACAAAGGTTTCATGGCACCCAGAATATTTAGTTGTATGAATATCTGAACATGCAATATATCAAAAGAAAGAGCAGACCCTCTGCTTATAAACAAAAAAACTTGGATAAAAAAAGTGACATTTTGAGCATAAAGCTTAGAAATTAGCATTTTTGTCAAAGACTATGTCTGGATCGGATTCAGAACGATGATCAAAACACAGATGAAGTAGATCGAGTCTAAGGTTGCACAGTCCTGTACCTCGTCCTGGGTCGACATTTCATACGATAACATTAGGCAGTTTAGATTTATATGCTGTTTAATGTTGATGATTGCATTATTACACATATATCGCTTGTTTCTGCATCTTCTATGCCTGTCTTTTGATCAGGAGATTGAGTAATCTTTCAGAAGATGTCATAGCGCCCCCTACCGTATAACAGTGAAAACACTGAAAGACGGAAATTCTGTCAATGGCAGGGAAAGAGTTAATATTCTCAAATCTATTTTTTAATTTTAAAATATACTGACATCCACATGAATCAAAGTAAATGCTAATATATATAAATAGAAGGTGTGCGGTGTCATGCACACAAATACGAAACTCCATCATGGTAACACAACGCTAAAATAATGCAATAATTTAACAACATAAGATTAACAAAACCCTAACGTACGTAACTGAGAACAAAACTAAGAAGAAACAAGGATTTCAATGAACAACGATCAAATGTGAGCCGTTGCACAGAATTCTGGGAATCAATGTCAGTTTACTTTTTTTCACTGTAAATTATAAGATGCCTTGTTCTTTTTCACTTCTGAGAACTGTAGATGTATCCACATTTCATTGTAAAATTGCATGAAAATGACTCATTAGATCAGTTTTTCACTTTAGAGAGTAAGGGAACTCACCGTTAACCAATTAACAGGTTTTTAACCGTTGCATTTTACAATGTTTTACTGTTAAAATGGCTATCTCTTTTTTTTTTGTGCCATACAGTGACGGACTCTGGTTATGCTGTTTTCATTTATCAGTAATTGATGGAGATAACCTCTCCATATTGGCAATTAAGATGAATTTTGATTAAATATTTTAACCTGTTTAGCAGTTCTAATTAAAACACATTTACTGCAAACTTTCCACAAGCTGCTGATCTGCCACAATGGTACAATTTCACACTTTTTAGTGTTCATCTATTAGTGGATCTTCAACAACTACAATGGATCCCCAAAAGTCATCCAGAAAACTGATAGTAGGATAAAAATCAACAGCATTGCCAATGCTGAAATTGTTCTCATCATGTACATATCCCATCATAACCATTCCCAGGTCCCGCCCGTGCTGTCATTGTTACCTCGTCCCCTCTCAACTCTGATGTTGTCCCCACCACTGGTTTCATTGCCTCCTCCAGTATTCCTTGTGTAAGATTTCCACCCTTCATGTCCTATCATGTTTTACAATAGATCGTCTATATAAACGGGTTGTGTATCATTCAGGATTGATTTAAAGAATCTTTTAAATTCCTAAATTTTAATTCAGTTCGCAAGCAGGATGCAGAATTATAATTCAAATTTGAAATGTGACGTGTAATGGCTATATTAGTCATTTTTTATACATTTTTCAGTCTAAAAAAAAAATCTAACAATTTCATGTACAACATCTACACTACTGTTCAAAAGTTTGGACTTGGTAAGATAAAAAAAAAAAGATAAAAAAAAAGTTTTTGAATCTAAACAATAATGATGATAAAACAATTGCAGGATTCCTTGATCCTGAAATTGATGAAAATTGACAAAATTGATGAATTTTTTATCAATTTTTTGCGTCCTTGCTATATAAAAGTATTCATTTCTTTGAAATAAAACGTACTGACCCCAAACTTTTGAACGTTAGTATGTGTTTTGGTCTGAGGCCGTGTCTGCTCCTAAAAGTTAACATCAACTCATGCACAGATATAGTATTTCTCTTCCGTGAAATCACACCAAACATTATTGACTCATCTTGCACTCAATGAAATGATACAACTCTCTTACCCTAATAACACTTGTCTCTGACTAGCAATAATAAGTAGCAATGGGTGTACATTTTATAAAAGTAAAAAATATATTTTTTAATGCCCCGTACATACTTTCTAATTCAATAGAAAATGGGTACACGGAAGAGAGAATATTGTGCTTAAACAGTTTCTTGGGAATTTCTTGCCCATTTTTTCTATAGTGTGACTTAAATTTCTTTTTTTTAAATTTCTAAATTAATTTTCCTATCTTTCCAATTCAGCATCCTGTGGGTTGTGGTTCATTCCTTTTTTCTGATTCATGAATTGAAAAAGGAGCTAGTTCTTAATTTTGAATTCTACCCAACCCTAGTAAATAATAATTAATTTTGGCCCCAAGCAATCCAAAATTACAATAAAAATGTACACACTACTTCGCAGGGTTCTGCTGGGTTTCATATTCTCCCTCAGGCACAGAAGTCTCCCCAACTAATCGTACCCAAAGAGGAAACTGCCACAAATGTGTCCAACAGCAAGACATCTGTGCAGTCTTCAAGTACAGGTTCGATTCAGCCCAGTCACTTCCAATTTCCATTTACGCTAAAAGTTTTTGTTATTATTTTGTTTGTAATTTAGGATTCTGAGCAATTTTTATTTTTTATTCCTTTGTCTTTAGCACACGACGGACGTGTTTCGGGTCAAGGGTCACCATTGGGACCAGAACAGGTACCAAGCCCCAAGTCACCTCTCAACACCAGTGCAGGCATGGGCAAAAATGAAACCTGTAAGGTACGGTTCATAAGATTGCACTCTACTAATGTTGTCTAACTGTACATTGATGCGATGTATCCAGAAATACAAAAGGTTCATTTACATGCATTTTCAAAGCAGAATTTTTCTAATGTAAACATTTGCACAATAAATCATAGTAGAAAAAGTTGCTGATATTGAATGAATGGCAAATTTTAAAGATTATTTACTTTTTTGTGTGTGTTGGGCGGGACTAACAACTTTCTTAATTGGCCAATTGAGCGTAATTGTCACTAATTTTGATGTTGAAATATCTACCAATTTCTCAGTCTGTCTTGTTTTGTAATTTTTGCTTTGACAGAGTCGCAGAGTGACTCACATATCTGCTGAGCAGAAGAGGCGATTTACCATAAATGTCTGCTTCAAGACATTGTGTAATCTTGTGCCGACCCTCAAGTCTCAATCAAATGTAAATCTGCATTCATCTTACTTCATTCTCAAAATCCACATTCACCTTTTTTTTTTTTTTTTGTGAAGCGTATAATTTGCTTGAAGTTGTCTCTGCATAACTGTAATGGGAGAACGTGTTTTAAAGAAGCCATATGATGTTCTCTTCAAAGGTCGTTATTTTGTTTTTTGGATGTGCTAGAATAGGTTAGCATGCTTAAAGGGCTAGTTCACCCAAAAATGAAAACTCTGTCAGTAATTACTCTCCCTCATGTTGTTCCAACCCCGTAAGACTTTCGTTCATCTTCGAAACACAAATTAAGATATTTTTGATTAAATCTGAGAGCTGTCTCACTCCTCCATAGGCTTCTAAGGGATCGAAACTGTTATGAAAGTTATGAAAGACATCGTTAAAATAGTCCGAGTGACTACAGTGGCTCAACCTTAAGTTTATCAAGCGACGAGAATACTTTTTGTGCGCAAAAAACAAACAAAAATAACGACTTTATTCAACTATTCATTTCCTTCTCTGTACGGCCGTGATATTTCACGTAGTGATATTGCGCAAAGCTTCTTGGTTGCACGTCACACGTAGGCTCACTATTGGCCGACGCTGGTCATGTGTGTGATGAGTGACGTACAACCTAGAAGCTTTGCGTAGTTTCACTACGTGAAATCTCACGGCCGTACAGGGAAGGAAATGAATAGTGGAATAAAGTCGTTATTTTTGTTGGTTTTTTTTGCGCACAAAAAGTATTCTCGTCGCTTGATAAACTTAAGATTGAGCCACTGTAGTCACTCGGACTATTTTAATGATGTCTTTCATAACTTTTGGGCCGGCCAGTTTCGATCCCTTAAGAAGCCTATGGAGGAGTGATCCAGCTCTCAGATTTAATCAAAAATATCTAAATTTGTGTTCCGAAGACGAACGAAAGTCTTACGGGGTTGGAACAACATGAGGGTGAGTAATTACTGACAGAATTTTCATTTTTGGGTGAACTAGCCCTTTAATGTAAAAAAACACACATTATTTTTCACATACTGTACATTATTGCAATTCACCTTTTAGTGCTTAATCCTGTTCTGTACACACACAGTTGAGTCATTTACAGGATTGACAACTGCATTCTACAACTGAATTAACCAAAAAATGCAGGTAGTGACAAAATTTCTACGCAGTGTGTACAGAACCAGACAAGTAGTTGTTAATGACGTACGATGAGAGATATAAGACGAGAGATACATCTCTAATGTACGTTAAAATACGAGCCAAGCTTAAACAGCAACCCCAAAAACACTTATAATACACAACGCCTCCGTAGACTGGGCTTTAGTTAAAATTGCTGAACACAAGGAAACTTTACAGTTTGTACATGGCCATTGTGACGTAGACAAGTGCGGTAGTAATCTGCACTTCCATCAAGGCGTTTTATATGTGAAATACTATGAGCTTGATAACTTTGCAGATCTTATACATGCACAAACAGACACATTGCACACTAAAGGAAAAAGAAAACATTAAAAAGCATCATATGGCCTCTTTAATATTGAAAAATAATTACGGTTTAATTTTGGCCCTTAAACAGCATAACATGCTTGTGATGTGACTTGTCTGGGTTTTCAGATCAGTAATGCTGCAACACTTCAGAAGACAGTTGATTACATTGGCAAACTACAACTAGAGAGACAACAGATGCAGGAAGAGACCAAGAGACTACGAGAGGAGATTGAGGAGCTTAATACATCTATAAGGTAAGTGTCCATTAAAAATAAATAATGTGAACTAGTTGGAAGCATTACATTTGGAAAAACTGCTGCTTCACAGCCAGGCTATTTCAATGTAAAGATATGTGTGCATGTAGAGCTGCTTATTCTCTGTAAAAGATGGCCATTATTTATTGCAGCTTGTGCCAGGAACAGCTCCCTGATACAGGCGTTCCCGTCACACGCCATCGCTTTGACCACATGAGGGAGAAGTTCGAGGACTATGTGAAGAACAGAACTCTTCAGAACTGGAAATTCTGGATAGTATCCTTAAGCCTGAAAAGATTGAACTGAATAGACAAAATGTTTGTACTGGATTGGACTCTTTATTTTCTTTAATACTCCTCTCTCAGTTTAGCGTCATTATTCAACCTCTGTTTGAGTCCTTCAATGGGATGGTGTCTACCACCAACAACACAGAGCTATGTGACTCCACCATGCAGTGGCTGGATCGTTATTGTGCCCTCCCTGTCCTCCGACCTAGTAAGATCACCGTTCCACTTTATTGAAATGTAAACTTTTTCTTCGACTGGACAGTAGTAGTCTCGCAAGACTGACGGCAGAAAGTCTGGACTCCATAGCAGCTTTCATTGGCCAAGGGGACGTCCAAAGTCCTTTTAGGCAAGTCATGCCACTCGGCCGCCATCTTGGCAACGCCTCCGGGCAGCTATTTCGGACTAACAAGACCAGGCTCCTATCTAAATGAATGGGCAGAGAGTCAGAACTGCAGTGTCACTGGTCACCAGGACATAAAAACTGCTTGTATAGAAACAGCAGTAAAATATGATACAAATCGCTGAAAAAGTTTGATGACTTTGCCCCAAAATAAGGTTTAAAAGGCCTTTTTCCCCACAGGTTATACGTTTACTACGCATGCGCAAGGGTTCTCTCCCTCTGTCGTGCGCGCGCTACACAGTTTGAAGCACAGTATGTGCGAGCTCTTGCTCGCTCGCTCTAGATTCCGGGAGATTTGAACTAATTTGCGGGCATCAGGGAGCCGCTATCAATCTGCGGGAGACTTCTGATGTCTGATATTACACAACTCACACATACACTGCATATCAAATCTGCCGCCTTTTCAAACAGTAACGTATTTTGCGCTGTCGCAAACCTCAACTGTGCGCATCTGTCAGTGAAACCAGACGATAGGCTTAAATGTTTCCCGGCTTGACTGTTAAAAGCAGACGATTGGCTTTCCAGCGGGAGGGGCGGGGCATGTGCATACAACCGCCATCTTTGGCGTTACGGGTTTTCCCTATATAGTTGTATTAAGGATGGATGAAGTGGCATGTCTCTATATAAATAGTCTCTGGGACGTCTGACCGACATGTCAAGCAACCAATCATGGTTTGTTTTGTTCAGCGTCATGTTTAGGGGTGTAAAAATGTAAAGTCGCTGTCCCCACAATAACAGACTGGCATGCAATTCATTCAAAAACATAATAGTGCTGTGAACCGCACATACTTTTGAAAATCCAGCGTTTAGTTGATCCTGATAAGACTCATTGTCACAGCTGTAAACACGATGGCTTTGTTCTTCCATGAGGGGGTTTGGCTTCACGATGGCTTTGTTTCTAGGTGGACCGTTAAAGAACGTGACACACACGTTTCCCGGAAATCTGTGAGGATTCAACCAATCAGTGTTTTCCATTTTGTGTGCCATGTGCATTAGACTTTAATATTTGTTTGTTTTAAAAATAGCATTTTAAATCGCAATTTTAACCATAAATTTGCAGTTTAATTGTATTTTTTCTTCCCTAAATTGTGCAGCATATCCTTCTCCATCGTTCTTGTTTTGGTTTTTGTACTAAACTTCCTTCCGAGCGAATGTCCTGTAAATGACACGACTCAGTGACTCCATAGAGACAGAAACTAAACAGGCGTTACTGACAGACTGAGAAGAGAGGTGCTGCAACAATGTCGAATATGGGGAAAATAATGTGTTTTTTGAACATTCAAGCATGAAAACCTATTCTAGTAGAGCCCAAAAACAAAACCAAGACTTTGAAAAAGGGTATAATAGGTATGCAGGAACTGCCTATAGGTTGTAAAATGATTATAGGAATATCTAATGTTAGTAATAGTGTTTTGGTGATCTCAAATGCACAAACTTCTTTCTATTCTGTTGACTGTTTTTTCATTTTGATGTAGTATCTTGTATATCTGTGTATTATGTTCACCATTTTCTCTCTTTGTGTGTTTTTTCTGTATCCTACAGTGGTACTCAAGACATTACGACAGCTCTGTACCACCACCTCCATCTTGACCGATCCCGCACTGTTACCCGAGGAAGCCAAAAAAGCTGTTCTCAACCCAAAAAAACATTCCTCATGATCCTCAGTTTTAACCCTCTGACATTTAAAATGTGATTTTTAAGATTTTTTATCCAGGCAAATCAGTCTTCAGGAGCCTTTTGCCTGTGGTGAGGTCTTTGCTTTGTTGTTACTAAAAACTCCACTCAAAATGGTGGAAATGCAAGAGAACTGCTTGATTGTCTACTTTAAATGTGTTCGTAGAAGTGGACAAAATGGAGAACTCTACGTACATGGTCAAATTGTTTGCTTCTCTTATGTACAGGAAGATGCAAATGGCCACTCAATCCTAAAAAGAATAAGCCCCCTTTTTTTTTTTTTTTTTTGCATAAGCGATTTATTTTAAAATGACAAACCAAAGTCAATCTCTCTTGTTTACGTTCATCATCTTGAGAGCCATACAGCTGGCATGTCTCCGACTGCATAGTTTTACTAGACCTGTTGCCTTGAGACTCAGGGTGTTGTTTTTTTCCATATGTTTGGGTGTTTTCTGTATTTGATGCTGTTATTCTGATTATTTAGTGTCCTTTTATAAATTTAACCTCTGTTCACCCAAAAAACTGCTACACCATTGAACAAATACCAGGATCGAGACTTTTTAAGCGCATGGACAGATGCATGGGCCTGTAAAACTATCTGCCGAAAATGACAAATAGAATTACAGCCACAAATATTTATATTCATGTAAGTGTGCGGTGCATTTGTTGTTTCTTAAGATGAACATTTAAAGGACTTTCGATAGGCTTTCTCTTTTGGGGAGGACGTCTTAATGTCAGACACCTGATTTCAGCAGTTCATATTAAACGGCCCACAGATCTAAAATGTAAGGACGTACCATCTATTATTAAATATTGAACTTTTTTTTTTTCACTATGTGTTCTGAATGCTGATTTGCTCAACACGTTTCTGCAATTACTTGGTGAAAAAAAAACGAATTAACTATGGACTGTTCCCAATAAAAATATATGAATTTTGCATTCATTTATATGCAAGGCAATTGACAAAATAATATCATTTTTTTTATGGGCAGTTGGAGGGTGTTTCACTAATCTGAGCAAAGCAGGTCAGGATATAAGTAACTTATTTACCATACAAACAGTTGTGCTGTCTCATTTTAGTTCAGGCTTCATTTAGACTAAGTCATTTAAATTCACATTTCTTTTTCAATCTCTGTTTTAAAATGTTTGACAAACATGCTATGGAGGATTTCTCCCTTTTTGTTTTTGAATGAATACGTAAAATGTTCCTGCCTTACCCCAAGCCTTCATAGGCTTACAATAATGATTTTTATTCAGAGCAGGTCAGGTTGGATTTGATGGTGGTTGAAAAAGTCATCGCTCGCAAAGGGTAGGCTACAATATGTTGCTTTTTCCCCCCTTCAGAACTAAACACCAGTTAAAAATGTGTGTGAGTGTGGTCCGACTTGCTCTGAATGACAAAAAACTCAAGGCCATGCCCGGCGTGCAGTTCGTTTGTGCTGACTGTAACTTGCTGAAGAGACACAACTTAATTATTGGTTTAAACAACCGTGATGTGTTCTGTTTTAAAGTGTTTGATTTTTAACTTTGATATCATGTTTAATGTGTATAAATTTTCTGTGGATATTCCCAAACTCTTTGACATTGAATCTGCATTCTCTTTAGGCATACGTGTTAATAGAAAAGATAAAATACGTTTCCTTTTTTCTTTTTTAATAAAAAGGAATGGAAAACACGTCAATATAACCATACTTTGGGTGTATTGTTCATTTTTATTGAACAAGTTTTTGTAATTATATCCAATGTTTAGGCTACCAGGGATCGCGCATTTTTGCAGGCAGAAACCTGGAAAAGAATTAGCATTTTAGCACTTCCCGTTCCATGGTGTTGAAGTCATGTTTTTTTTTAGTGGGATTTAGTTTAAAAGCCTGAAATAAGGTCAGTGTTAAACACAAGCTCAATATATTTTCATGTTATATTCTACGACATAAAACAGACCAGTCACCCACCCGTGGTTTCTTTTAACAAGCTGTTACTTGTGTTGAAAAAGGCGGTTGCTAACAAGTGTCTAAATGGGTTCCTTTTACTGTCTATGGTTCTCTTACGAGAGGTTCTCTCGTATTGCGTAAGCTAGCTTACGCTACGGAAAGATTCATCTTTTCTGAGAAATTGAAGCCAAAAATTATCCTATAATTTTGTATCTATTGTCAACGCAGTTCAGCTGCAGCAGAGCATGAGCAGGCTAGCTAGCAGCTCATTGGCTCGCACACAGGGAACTGCTTAAGCCTATGAGGAGACACGAATGAACTCTCGGCCAATGAGAGTCTGACCTGCTCTCATTGCGTCAGAGCCCGCCGAAACGGGCGTGGCCAGAGAGTATAAATTCGCCTCTCAGGCTGTAAATTCTGATTTTCATCTCTTCAGCGAGGCTACACGCATCTGCTGATCCTAAGAGAAGCCGCCGTCGTGGAAAAGGCACCTTCTAGCGAGCATCTGGGAGTCTGAGGAAGCCGGCCGTCTTCGCCACCTTCAGCCGTCCTGCAAGCTAGCGCCATCCGACGGATTCATATCCTTTACCAAAAGCTTCTTGTTTTGTGTGTATCTAAAAGAGCCGAGCGTCTTTGTAAAGATGTCTCGTTTTTCCTCCTGCGGTTCTTGCCGCGCTCCCCTCGAGACTGGAGACCGCCACGTCATCTGCGCTCTCTGCCTCGGATTGGAGCACGCCGAGCTCGCCCTCGCCGATGGCGGCTGCGATCTCTGCGAATGGGCTTCTGTTGTCGACCCTGCGGGCTCGACTCGAAGCGTTACGCCGCCTCCCCCTCTCACCGCCTACGAGCGCTGAATGGGGGACGAGCCGCTTACAGCTGTGCCAACCGCGGCTAGCTTTCTTTACTTTACAAGAGAGCTAGCCCGGCCCCGGCCCCATCACCGGCAAGTGGGTTTATAGTGCGTTAGTTCCGTCGAGGCCGAACTAGTCGCTGCTATCACGCCCTCTTATCTGCTCGCGCTATTAAGCCTGTGTCTGCCCCCCTAGCTCAGTGGTGGAACACAAAGCTTTTCGCGCCAGAGACCCGTGTTCGATTCCGGCTCTCGCAGATAACTTTTTTATGCAGCTCTGAGCTCTCGGCTAGCTTTCTTACGTTACAGAAAGCGGCCGCGCTCTCCCGCCTGCATATAACGCCGCTACATAAAGCGTTTATAATGTATCAGTTCCGCTGAGGCCGAACCTTTTTCTGCTATCACGCCCTCTTATCTGCCTGCGCTGTTATGTGTGTGTCTTTACCCCTGGCTCAGTGGTGGAACACAAAGCTTTTCGCGCCAGAGATCCGTGTTCGATTCCGGCTCTCGCAGATAATTTTTATGCCGTCACAAGTCCAGCCTCGGCAGGCTAAAAATAGTCTCGTGCCCGCTTGCAGCGCTCACGTTTCTAACACGCACTTGCACGCGACGCGCGTCACAAGTGCAGCCGATTTCAGGCTATATATATATCCCGCTGCAGGCCGCTCACGTGACCAGCCTCAGCTGAGAAAAGGACGGCTATTTCTCACCATGGCTGAACCGCCATCAAGGTTTCGCCCTCTGTCAGTCCCCGTTCACACGGCTACTGCAGCAGTGTACACCGCCATCAACAAGCCGGTCTCTTTTCCCGCTTGCATGTGCACAAACGCCGTTTTCACCGCGACCCAGAGAAATCTAAAAAAAAAAAAAAAAAGTGCATAAAAGCCTCTTGTGTAGAAAATGTGCCCACAACACTGTGTTCACTCATACACAAAGCACTGCATGTGCACAAACACCGTTTTCACGGCGACCCAGAGATATCTCAAAAAGAGCATAAAAGCCTCACGTGTAGAAAATGTGCCCACAACACTGTGTTCACTCATACACAAAAGCATTTCAGTTCCCGTGTGTCTCACAGAGCCCACTCTCATAAAGCGGTTCCAACCCGCTCGAGTTTCAGAGTGCATAAGCGTGCCCACGAGCCCGTGTGCGCGTCCCACCTCTGCTCACTCTGTTACACGGCCCTTAAACTCCTCTCTGAGTGTAAGTCCCGCTGTCATAAACACTATGAGCGCGCCCGCGCGGCCCGCTGTGTGCAGCAACGGGGACCATGTAGCCATTCACCCCTTAGCGTTACGCTTCAAAGCGTGGGAAGCTATTCCGGGAATTTCCCAGTGGGTGCTAAACACAATAAGGCTAGGCTATCGCTTACAGTTCCACCGCCGCCCTCCAGGTTTCCGAGCGCGGCTAGAAACTATTGTGAACCCAGAAGCAGTGACTCTGCTCCGTTCAGAGATAGCAAAACTATTGTGCAAAAGGGCTATAGAGAGAGTTCCTCTATCTATGAGCGAGTCGGGGTTTTACGGCCGTTATTTTCTGGTTCCAAAGAAAGACGGCGGCCTCAGACCAATCTTAGACCTCAGATTTCTGAACAAAGTTCTCATGAAGAGACCGTTCAAAATGCTCACTATCAGAAAACTCCTCGCGCATGTGCGCCAGGGGGACTGGTTCATTTCACTAGATCTGAAAGATGCCTACTTTCAGATTCAGATAAATCCCCTTCACAGGCCATTCGTACGTTTCGCCTTCGAAGGCCAGGTTTATCAATACACCGTCCTCCCGTTCGGCCTATCCCTAGCACCCCGCACGTTTACGAGGTGCATGGATGCGGCGCTCGCCCCCCTGCGGAGTCAGGGGCTGCGAATACTGAACTATTTGGACGACTGGCTGATTTTGGCACAATCACAGAGGGAGCTACTGTCTCATCGTACAGTTCTCCTCGACCATCTGAAAAGTTTGGGCCTCTCTGTCAACTGGACAAAGAGCGCACTTCAACCCAGTCAGACTATCTCCTTCTTGGGTATAGAGCTAGACTCGGTCTCAATGACGGCTCGTCTGTCTACACAGCGCGCGCGCCGTGTGCAGCGTCTCGCCGCATCTTTTCAGATGAACAGACTCACACCTCTGAAAACTTTTCAGAAGGCGCTGGGTTACATGGCCTCAGCCTCCGCAGTGCTCCAGCTGGTGTTACTGCGCATGCGCCCGCTTCAGTTCTGGTTGAAGAGCCGTGTGTCTCACCGCGCGTGGACCACGGGCCGCCAGCTGATAAAGGTAACGCAGACCTGTATCACAGCTCTGCAGCCATGGACCATGACAGAATGGTTTCAGCGGGGCTTTCCATGGGGACCTTTTCTCGCCGAAAAGTCATTTCGACAGACGCATCCAACATGGGTTGGGGTGCGGTCTGCGAGGGCTCACCGGCCTTCGGCCCCTGGTCAGCTCAGGAGAGTCTCCTCCACATAAACTGTT